GTGGATTCAATGATTTTCTTGTGTAGGATATTAAGACGTATTCTAAATTTTGCAAAACTACAAATTTCAACTTAACTGTTATTGGAGGTTAACAACTTATTTGATTAACATGATTACTTAAATATTTTGACTTACTTTTACATATCTTTCTATTCTTTTAATTCATATGTGATGTATTTATATGAGCTTTCATTCATTTTAAATCGGACTCTTTGCCTTTTCTTTGATTTACAGGCTGAATCATTTACAGACGAACAGATCGCTGGTAAGTTCAAATTATGTTTGGGTGTCCTCCATTTCGAATTCCTGGATCCGCCACTGGCCAGGTATTTACTATAACCCTCATCGAATAAAGCCTATAAAGATAGCATACAAACATTTGTAATAGGCCTACTGTATTATGAATAATAATAATAATAATAATAATAATAATAATAATAATAATAATAATAATAATAATAATAATAATAACATGAGTACAATGTTTCTATCATATTTAGGCATATATACTGTATTCATTCCGCTGTAGAAGGACTAGTGTTATCCAAAAGCTTTGCTTTTGTCTCTAAATATGTACACTTAATCATTCGAAATTATTTTCTATAAAGCCTTCCATGATTTCATTCTTAGTATAAATAAAAAATACTGTATACTGTGTATTATAGTTTATTATATACACTTTTAGGTGAGACATCCTACTTACATTTTTTTAAAGAACGCATTTTATAAGAACATTGGGGCTGAAATTGCTTTAAAAATATAAACAACTTAAATAAGAAAAAATTGAGACTGAGGTAAAATGTCAAATGAGATTTTGTATTTTTTTTTTAATTTGAAAAACCAACATATGTCTTTAATACCATACAGTACATTAATATACTGACTGTACAATAATAATTTTCTATGTTGGTAAAATAGGAACAAAACATAAACATTTTGAGCCTGAAATCGGCAAAAAATAGGCCTATATGAACACTGAGTCCCGGCAAAATGTTACTGGTTCTTAAAAAAGTGTAGGCCTACATTCGTGACTCTGGAAGGTCACTGAATAAATAGACAAAGTGTACGGTAGTTATCATAATATAATTTGATATATCATTATTATTCTCGAATGCCCCGTAGAAGTTCTGTTCACGATCCAACAAAAACTTACAAATTAAACTAAATTCCTTAATGGATAATGCCCTTTATTATAGTTGTGGGCTGCCAGGTAAATATTTTGATATCAACTTATCTCATTGCTCATGGTAGTGCCCTTTTCCATTACCACCCTACAAATTTAACTAAATTAAATCTATATTTTCAGGTAAAAATAATTCTGTCGGGCTCGTGGTTCAGATCAATATTTTGATATCAAGTTACGGTATATGTACCGTATTTCCTAATGCCCCATATAGTAATTCTATTTATGCTCCTGAAACCTGCAAATAAACCTAAATTCCTAAATGGATAATTTTTTCCCGTAACAATTTTGTCGGGGTCGTGATTTGAATCAACATTTTGATATCAACTTACCCTATATGGGGTGTACACTCAAGGTGAACAAATAGAAGCGACATTCCAGGCGGAGTAATTTATCCAGCTTTGGAAGAAATAATATTAGACGAAAAACGAGTCCCAGGAATTAAGACACCGCTAGGTTTAACGCACCATTGACTATCCCACTGGGATGTTAAATTATACAAAAACGGTAAACAAAATTCCGGTTAGCGTTATTAATAGCTAATATGATCGACGTTATTATTAGAAATTTTGTAAAGGAAAGTGTTGGATTCCCAGCATGAAAATCATTGACCCTTGTGCCTAAAATGAAATATAATTATTTAATACCGTATATATACACTGTAATATAACAAAATTTAGGTCTATTTAAATATTTACGACGCGTGTATCTATGATACATGATATCTGTTATCTTGTTACGTCGTACCAGTGCTGCGTTCTAACATTCTAGATTATTGCAAATAATAAGAATCGATATTATGATAAGAATTGTTATAAATAGCACTTTAATGAGGAAAATAATAATCTCATTATCATTATTAACAATAATAATAATTATTATTATTATAACTACCACTGACGTGAAGTTATGTTCGTTGATACGATCATACGATCAAAATAAATAGTACTTTAATGAGGAAAATAATATATATCATTATTATTAGGCCTAATAATAATAATTATTATTATTATTATAAATATTAAATATTATTATTATTATTATTATTATTCTATTTGTGTGTATTGTGTTGCAAACTTAGTTTGATTATATATATATATATATATTATAGTCTAATTAATTTGCTTAACTCACAAATTAATATAGAAAATGTAAAACCAATTCTGTTTTATTTAGGCACATTTGGCTGTAGGGTTAGGTACGTTTGCAGCAGCATTGTTCAATATGAGCCATAAAATGCATTTTTATATTTTTTTTGCCTCTGGGCTCTCAAGCGTTTCTCCTTGACATTACCAGCAATTCTGTAATTGATCGACTGTGTTCTATCATTCAAACAATTTGAAAAATGTTTTTCAGAGATGAAGGAAGCGTTTACGCTTTTCGACAAAGATGGTGACGGCACTGTAACAGTCAAGGAACTGGGTACCGTCATGAGATCACTAGGTTCCAACCCGTCACAAGAAGAGATCGAAGAAATGGTAAAAGAAGTCGATACTGACGGTCAGTGTGAAATAATTAACGCTATTTGTAATATAGGCCTACTGATATAATTTATATGAATAAAATAGTGCGCAATTATGTGAATCCAACAGTTTGAACGATGTGAATTTTAACCTGATGAAAATGCTAGGGCGTTCATCAGTTTACAACAACAACAAAAAACATCAATTTTTGAAATGCGTTTTTTTTTTAATAAAGAAATGTTTCAATTATTTTTTTTAATTTGTTTAACCATCAATCAACTTATTTCGGAAAAAATCCATATGAAATAAACAATGTATGAACTTATAATGAAAGGCCTATCTGAAAAAAAGAAATACAATGTACTGTAGGCCCTCAACCCGATAAAACTGCTGGGGCGTATCTAAAAGTGTCGATAATAACAACGCAGAAAAAACAATAGCATTAAATCAGTAGATTTCTATTATTTGCATATTCCAAGCATTTTAGCAGTCCCTATCTATGAATTATGCTGATCAAGTGGACACTCACAATCATCTATATTTTAAAATTTTAAATATAAAACAAATAAAAAGCATTAATCGAAAAATAGCTCATCGAATGTTTAAACCTACGGTAAGAAAGATTTTTTGTTGTGATAAAAGTACTTTTGTTAAATGAAAATCATTATTAAAATACACTATTGCTATTGCAGATGTTTATGTTTGACGAATATTAAGTTGCAGTAATTACATATAATAGAGAAATAAACGAAGTGAATTGTTACATTTTTAAGTCCATCATTAATACATTGGTGTTTTGCTGGTGCATCACCAAATAAGGGATTGCTTTCCCTGACAAGGTCAGGCCATTGCTGCGTAACTTGAGCCTAGCTGTCGTTTCAATTAGTACAAGACAGCTGAGGTAATATAGATAACTCCTGGATACGATTTATAATAACCGTGTCATGTAGGTCCAGGCGGCCTACTAATACTATATTATATGATTATAATATCGCACTGGTTTAAGTTAATATGAGCCTATGTAACACCAATTGCTACGCGTAAAGGTCTAAGATTTACGTGCATTTGAGGAGCCAATCACAGTACTGAAATCTCATTATAGTAGGCTTAAATCATAAAGTATAATTTTTTTAAATGCTTTACTTGAGCCAACCAAAACCCCAACCCATACCCTACAACTGAATTACACAATAATGTTTATATTATAATGGCTTTAAATAACGATTTGCAATGATTATATCTATATTTATTGTATATAATCATTGCAATTGGTTATTCAATGATATTGTTTCTAATGTGGTCAAATGATATTTGTTTCTCATCATAGGCTCTGGATCTATTGAATTTGAAGAATTTTTGGTATTGATGGCAAAAAAGACAAAGAAAGATCCAACACAAGAAAACAAGGAGATTTTTGGTGTATTCGATAAAGATGGCGACGGTTTCATCACGTATGTCTTCATTCGTTAATTGTTTACCTATTGTTTTAGCATACTAGTATAATAACAATGATAATAATAATAATAATAACAATAATAATAATAATAATAATAATAATAATAATAATAATAATAATAATAATAATAATAATAATAATAAGAGTATAACAATGATGATAATTTGTAATATTTTTCAGCGCAAAGGAACTTCATTTCGTTATGACCAACTTAGGTGAAAAGTTGACAGATGAAGACATCAATGACATGATCAAAGAGGCCGACGTAGACGGAGACGGCCAGGTTAGCTTCGAAGGTGAGCTCTACTATCTATCATTCTGTAACTTATCCTCCGTGCCTACAATCTGACTTTCCGATTGGTTCAAAGGGCAAATGTCTCCGTTTCCATATATGGTCATGTAAATGTTCAGAGCATGTTTAACGGAATGCACATTGCACATGCGATTATTTGAATGATTTCAGAGGTGATAATTTGATATTAAAGTCCTCCTTAATGGAGAAGATAAGCATGTTTGACCTTTTTACTTACAATTTGTTAAACTATGGAAATATAGAGAAATTATTTATATTTCTATGATGACTCCTTGTTTTGACAGGCTGATCATTACAATACATGAACTTCTTCTTTGGGGACATCCACGAAACGATGGGAATATATATGTCTTTTTTTAAAAAACTTTTTAAACACATTTATTAAGGTGACAATTTCACATTTTCGGTTAGTGATTCATAAATAAGGGTACCCCGATTCAAGCGACACCCACACTTTTTGATATCAAAGGTGCCCATGTATTTATGGGTTGTACTAAAATACAATGGGCTCCTAAACAGCGCCCATCCACTTTTAACCCTCGAGCCGCATCCCCCTGTTTTGGGTGCAGTTGGTCCGAGTTACTATTGTTCCCATGACCGGTCACATACTACGAACAATTCTATTCCAATGTTGTTGTTATTATACTTTTGTAACGAATTTAAACGTTTTGTTTTCTTTTTTTCCCCATAGAATTCTGCTCCATGATGTCGTACAAATAAGCTGTGGGCGATTTCAATAAATTTTTGCATTGTTTAATTTTTTAATAAATATGTATGAGATCGTCGATGTTACAGCGCCACCTCAAGTTGGAGATTCAGAACGACGGACTATTTATATAATATGATGTCATATTGATGCCTGAGGAGAATCAAGTTAAATAGGCCTACTAGATGAACTAAAATCATTAAGCCGATACAGACGATCTATTGGCGGAGACTTGTTTGACAGACTTTTGTACTGTAATAAAATTTATAGCAAATACCACCGTTTTGATATCATACGATGCAGATGTTTTGATTGACTTTTTTTGCAAGATTCTTTTAATATCACCAGTTTGGTATGATATAGTACCTACTGGTTTGTCTATCTATATTTCCTTGTAAATCTTCTTGCTGTAATAAACCATTTCGTAGTCTGAACTGCGCATGCCCATAGCAAGGTCAATCGACTACAAACAAACATACAGTACACCACATACACAACACGTTTTCGTCGATTGACTTTAAATACGCACATGCGTAGTTTGAGACTACGAAATGGTTTTGTCCAACTCTGTCGATCTGGGTCCTGTAAAATAATATCTCGATGTATTTACTATCTGTTTATTAGACCTGACGAAGACAGGCTGGTGTAGTGTGCAATGACCGTATTCAGCAGAGATGTGCGTTATCTTACAAATAGAAACTTAAACCCGAACCCGAACATTGATTTTGTATCATAAAAAAACCAATCTCATCATTAAATGCTTTAAGGCATACACAAGTACTTTAGTTTTTTTCTACAAGATATCTATTGGATGTTGAAGTTGGACGTATTGATTGATTTATTTGTGAATAGTAAAATATAGATATGGTTTGTAAGAGATTTCCATGTCAATTCATTTGAATCGTATAAACTCCAAAGCACCGTCTCACAAACTAGGCCTATATACCGTATTCATTCGAGGGGCGTTTATTTGAGGGAGGCGTTTTTGGTGTAAAATGGATACGTATACTAAAATAAACGCCCCTTAATTTCACTGCAAATGTGGAACTACAACACATAATTACCGCCAAAATGTGTTATTTTGTGATCATAAAGACTTATTGACCCCCAACCAGGTTGGAAAAATGTAATTCTACTGGAGTAGAAGACCAATAGAATGTGTTGAGAATCATGTTGCTTCAATTAGATTTGTTTACATTAATTTAGGGAGGGGGAGTTTTTTCCAAATGGGTCTAATTGAAGGGCGTTTATTCGAATAAATACGATATGTGAACAATTTTTTAAAACTTGATATTACCACATATATTTTTGATAAGAAGCACAAAAAACAATAACAAGTAAACAGAATAGTAAAAGGAAATACAAAGCAGACAAAATTACATTAAACAATAAGTTCGCTACTGTTTGTTTTCGCAAAGAATGCAGGATACCTTTTAATTTGGAAACAGCGCCACCAATACCCACGAACTTTAAAGATAAAATCTTTGATTTAAAGGTTAAGTTATGAGCGTCAGTGGAAGACAAATTAGTTATAATAATAAAAAATCATAATTAAAATAAGTTTTTACATAATTAACTAACGAAGACCAATACATCTTTAAATGTGATATAGAAAAATGGAAAGGAGGAAACAAATTAGACCTAACTGAAATTAAAAATAAAAACAACAAATAAAATCTACACATTTACGTAGAGAGAACACATTGATTCAAATCGCTCCTCTTGCATGTTTCGGTTGGTAGAACCAAGTATTAGCGGATGAGAACCTAATGGAGGCCAGAGTTACACATCTGGTTTGTGTGCACATTAAAGAACCCCCTCCATATTTCGAAAGTGTAGGGGGTTACCTCGATACTGTGGTTCATTTCAACCCCTGTCGGTGTGGAATGATGTGAACTTGCAGCTACTATAAGCACCTCTAAGCTAGGTAGTTACAGACCACGCCCAAACGTAATTCAGCGCAATGACTTACGTATACCCTTTACCTTTATAAAGTTAGTGCAGCCGATGTTTACCCTTTTTAAGGGTAGCATGCACTGTTACAGATACTTTAGTGATAGTTCGTAATATAAAGGAAATCCGTAAACATAAATTATAATGGTTAGTAAACACTCATGTACTGTAACCGTAATGGATTTATTGAACAATTCGTTACAATACTGACGTCACACGGAGGTACAATAAGTGAAGGTTTAGATACATGGATACGGTATTCTATAGACCTGGTCGAGATTACACGCATTGTGTGGAGGATGTGAACTCTCCTGAGTGATTCATCCATTCCGGCAATAAATAATCCGCGCAGCATTGTTCTAAATGCGTAGAGCGTAACCGCGCACAATTCGTAACAACAATTTTCGTTCCATTCTGTTAATGTTACCGGTTGTTAAGGCAATCATTGTAACTCTTCAGTGGGTTCCTTTACACCTCTATTATTCCAGGCAATTGAAAGGTACGACTTGGCATTTTAAGCACCCTCGTGTGCTACAACTAGGTCTGAATTGTTTGGATTCGATCTCTCACAGAATTCCCAAAGCCTTCAGTGAGGTATATTGATTTATTAACGGAACAATATTCCGAGTCCTGAAGTTGAAGTATTCTTGTAACTTTGGACCTTCTTTTTGGTTAGGTTAGAGACGCTGTCCTTGTTTTAAAGTGCTTACATAGCCTACAGGGCCATTAAAAAGGCCATTAACTAGTTGTTTTTTTATCCTCGACAAACTTTGGAACTAATAATAATGTCATTGGAAGAAGAAGAAATATTTCTCACAGAACAACCAACAGATATTTCAACTGTAGTGAATGGAAAGGTAAGCTGGCCATTTTTATGAAATTATGTTCGTTTAATTAAAATTATTATTATAGTCTTAGCATCATACTTAGTTACCCCTAGCCCTCTTTCTTACCAGGATAAAGACTACATACAGGCAATTTCATTATTAAGAAATATTACAGTTACCCGGTACTTAAATAAATCACATCAACTTCATTGAGAAACAATTGAATTTAGGGGCTACTCTCATTTTATAGGCCCGGGCCCTATAGAGACTTTTTAGGCAATGAAGTGCAAAGAAAATGTACGAACCGTATTTTTTGTCTTATTAGGAAAATACAAGCAATTCAAGCCTTTTTAACTCAAAGCAAATAGTACCATAGTTTTAAACCTTTGCATCCTTTTATCCACCACAGGCCTAATTAATGTAGAGCACTACGGTATATTCTATACAGGCCTATAGTATATACAATAATTGTTGACTGTATAGGGCAAAACATGTATCCGATAATTCATTGAGAGGCAGGTAACCCGTTGTGCAACGAATAATCAACAAACTACACGACTGTCATTTGAAAAGATGACAATTTTTGGTACAAGATGTTGTTCAATTATCAAGTCTAATAATAGTTAAGACTCTCTAACAGGTATTTTATCATTTTAAAGTTCCGTTGAACAATACTAATTAATAATGATAATGAATTAAGATTATGATACTGTTGATATGACTAATGAAATATATCAGTAATCACACAGTTATACTGTCAATTATAATTACGGTATATGATGAGAAATGGAGAAAGGCAGAACTACCGAATGCAAAGATGCAACCAATCATTTAATCAATCAATCAATTAATTACTCAACGGATTCCTATAATATAGGAATCCGTAGACCTACATATTATGTAGGTCTAATTGACAGTATCATAGCTGGTCAAAAATCTGTAAACATACGAAAGTAGGGTAAAGCACGATTGCAAACTTGTCAATTGTTTTCATTTGATAAAGACAGTCATTTTTAATATAAAGCGGTTCAAACTGATTTTCACAAACTCATCCTGCCCATACTCTCGCAACTACTCTTCTAAACATGTAGTTTAACAGTCAACATTGACAGAGTGCTCGATCTAATCCGCCTCCCGTTACCCTTAGGACAATGGGCATTCAATCAGAAGGATTTTAACGAAAGTAATAATAATCACTAACAAGGATGTTATATTGCTTCCTATGAAGTAGGGCAAATAAGAAGGAATCATTTCATTATAACGCCTAATACGGTATCGCTCAAAAACGTTACTGAAATTATATATAATATAATATAGCATCTTTGTATAATTCATATTATATGGTATTATACTCATATACCATAATACCTGTATAAGCAAACTAAAAACACACTAATACTGTATTAACGAAAGGTATACCTTGCTGATGATCAGTTTAAGGCCAATTTAAATGGCCTAACAGCCATTACACAATAAAAAACGATTAAATACAATATAATAATGCTAATCACTATTAGATATGATAATAAATGATTAATAATAATAATAATTATATACTACTACTACTACTACTACTACTACTACTACTAATAATAATAATAAAATAATAATAATAATAATAATAATAATAATAATAATAATAATAATAATAATAATAATAATAATTCGAAAGCCTATTAGATTACGAACTCATACATTATTACTTTCTATGTTTCCATCGATACAATCGATCCATACTTTATTATTAATATAATAAAGAATGGTTCGATTGCATATTATATTAATTCAAGCGTGGGAATAGTGTATAAGACAAAGTAGAAGTCAACTCAATCGATGTTTGAAATTTCCAACAATAGCACCAATATTGTATAGAAGAAATTAGATCAATAGAATATATGTACGGTTCCTTAGCGACGACAGAAAGTAGTAGTATATATAGAAAAGCGATAATTATTATAGGAAACGCAATATGTTGGATAGTAATAACACTTGAATTGAACACCGACTGGCCTATAACATTAATAAAAAATGTCTTGGCGAGATCCCGGGAAGCCGCAACGGAGGATAATAACAAGAAAGGTTAGTTATAGAAAACTGGATAGGCTTATAAAATTTACCAAGAGTATTATTAAAACGATTGAGTCTATTATTTTAAAATTCAAAAAGCATAGGTCCTATATTTGGAATGACAATGAATTATACCTTCCATAAAATAACGTACAGATAACGGTATATCTACGCATGAACAGTTAGTAGGGCTACAAATAACATTAGGCCTATAAAAATATTAATAACGTTTGATATTTTGATCCTCTTTCACCAGGCCTATTAGATAATGCAAATCAACAATTTTAGGCTGCATTGTTTCCATTATTGTAGACAACTAAAAATACAGGTTTAATATACTCATTTGACAAACTGATTTCTATTTATTATCATTCATTTGAGATTATATTTATTTTAGTTTAAATTAAAACAGTGGCCACTCACTGCTATTATTGCTAGGGAAAGAAAAAGATCATTTTACATAGTTTCTGTAGAGAGGTGCTAACCGTAACGTAGGCCCGTGTATTCAGCTTGTTAGCTTAAACCGATGGGCCTTTGTGTAAATCCGGGCCTTGGGAAACGGATTGCATCTCCGTTTAGCGGGTGGGGGTTCCTCAGTGTGTACTAATTTTTTGAAATCGGAAACATGTAATATCATCTACATTTTGCATAATATGCATGTTATCTTCAAAGCCTAATTACCAGTCTTTACATATTTACACACCTTTACATTTTACACACCAAGGAAAGTTTATAATATATTGCTATGTACGATCATTCAACAATGAAAAGGTCGACAATTCTTTTCTAATTCCTTAAAATTGCATTTACATTTAGATTGCACCTATTAAGGTCGAAATTAACTAAACTGCTTAGTAATTGTCATAGCTTTATATAACTTAGGGACACAATACGCAACAATACAAGCGAGAATAATGGTTAGACATATTTAATGTACATGTGTTACTAGGTAATGTTTTTCATCGAAATCAACTATCACTAACGAATGCAATATTTGTGACTGTGGAATTTACTTTTGTTGAAGTTACGCGCCACTGTGACAATTTAGAATTTTAATATTCATCCATAATGAAAATGTAAACATCCCGAAATCTCAATCCTGTGAGATTAGTTACTAGACATCGTACACTCATGAAGTCACTTTAAATATCAGTTGCTCGGTATATAGAAAACAATTTTTTATATATTTTGATAAGAGGGTTTTTTGAGGCAGACCTATCACTGGTCTCTATGCTGATTCTCTACCAGAGTAAACGTTTGCTCATCTGTTATGCATTTTGTATTATTGTTGTTTTCGCCAATCATGGTCAATAAATATATCTTTGAATCTTTGAAGTAATATTTTCAGCTAAAAAAATATATTCATAAAATGCTACACACAAAGCTTAGATTGCAGGATGAAGTGTAACTATGACAACAGACGATACCTTATTCCCTCATGATGACAGACCAATTATACACTTTACATTTGAAGTGACCAATTTAGAAACCTGGTGTGAAATTCTATAAAGTTTTGTTATGAAATCTTGTAGGTCGATTAATGAGGAAGAAAACTAAACTGAAGGCGTTACATTGTTCGGTTATATAATTGTGTTTCCATGGTGATATCCATGGAAACTAATAGTGGCAATACAGTTGTCATGGTATCCCATGAAGTTTAGAATGTTTCGCTGAAGGAGAGTGTTTGATTTCACTCCACAACTGCGTTTAATAAAAAACAATTATTTCAAACGGAAATGAAATTATTTAAATTTAAATACATTTAAATTAATCCTAATATCTTACCTAACGGTATAACGGATATATTGTTCTCATGAACCTTAATATGATCGAGAATTTAGAGGTAAAACGTAAATTTATTTTAAAGTGACGTGTATATTGACCTTGCAGCAAATACGTGTACATATAACCAAAACATATCGGGTACAGTAGGCAACAGAGAACCTGTATGGTGACATGAAGGCCGCTAAAATTTCCAAAGCTACTGCTTATGAATTACGAAAATTTCTGGATAGCGATTCCAGGCACGGCATCACAGCCAACCACATGGTACTTGATGCTTCATTTCAACAGGCATAACAAATGATCATGGAAACTTTTGTTCATTACTTTCAGATCAGTTGCGGAAATGGCACGTGAACAAAGTTCATTGTTCTGAATGAACATGTAATCAAAAGGACTTCGGAACAGTTAGATATCCATTGTATTGACTTTGTGGTTATATTTTGTTTATGTCCGTTTTATCGTTTTAATCTAGGTCCACAACGAGACGGGTCCAACAACGGTAGTAAACAGCGATACAGGTTATAACGATGAGTCCTCCTTGACGACCAATCGCAGACTATCCAGTTTACCTCTGTCTAGCGTTCACATGATACACAACATGAATGGAGTGGAAACACCTAAAGACATTCCGAAAGATGACGACAGTGACAGTGGATGGGACACCGACTTGGAGATCGATAATCTGAGTAAGTTTATAAAGACACACCCTCGTATTTTTAAATGACTAACACCGAAACCCGTAGGCCTAGTTACCGCACTCTAAACCATAAAACTCTTCTAAAATTCTTCGAAAACTTGCTAGACGCCAATATTATGTTCTCACCTGAATATCGAAAAAATATGGGAAGGTTTGAGGTGAGAGGTAATTTTGGCTACGAAGAGGAGGTGTTTATGCGAAAGAATAACTTTGTATCCATGGAAATTGTAACTATGGCAATGATTAATTGATCTTTCACGCTACTTTCACAAAATAGGGACAGAATAATATACATACAGACGTTTAATATACCTTGTTAAATGCAAGAAGCATAATACTTTATTATCTTTTGTTATTTCTGCTTGTTATTGTAATTTTCCTCAAACAAAGGTAAATACAATGTTAGAATAAAGGACATAATAATACATCGTGTAGCATAGCTCTCAACGAATGTAGTCCTGTAATAAATGAATAAAGAAATTGTGTAATAAAATGCCTCTGGCATTACACAATTTCCTTATTCATTTATTACAGGACATTCGTTGAGAGCTACCGTATGCTACACGATGTATTATTATGTCCTTTATTCTAACATTGTATTTACCTTTCTTTGATGATTATTATATATAAATATATACATATACTACATACATACGCGCAATTTTTAAATCCCAAGTAATTCAGTTTTGTACCGGGTATGTGATTTGTGGATATAATCGGAAATAAATAAAGAAATAAAAACTGATGGAGTCGAGGGGAAAAGCACTTGTGCGAATAGTGGGGGTGTTTTCATATTGGTTTGTTCATTCTATTCACAATATTTTGTTTATTTTTAAATATAATTACTGTCGTGAGTTGCTCTGCCTCTGCCACAATCAGACTTGTATTGAAACTCGTTCGAACAGATTCACAAACACATCGATTCCGATTAATATTCTTGTAAACTCACCTCTTTAAAGCATCGTGTTGGTGAAAAGAGTATCGCCCTAGATTAATTAACAATAAATAGAAAGGAAAAACAAGCAGCGCGTGTGTATGCTCTGAATTCATGGGGATATTCATTGTTACTATTATTTCATAACTCAAGCTACTTATTAATATTTCATCGATCTAGACAAATCATCGAGAGTGGGGACAGACCGACAACCAACAGGGATTATCAAACATTTCCAATTCAATTGTATTTGTTAATATATTATATTTGTGTATTTCTGGCACAACCATGCAAGTGTATAGGAATAGTAGAGGCAACGGAATCACTAGAGGAAAACGAGCAACTTTAAAAATGAATGTATGTTTCGATTTTTTATCCAATTTTACTTTGAAAACTCTCTCGTTTGGTATTATTCCCAAATGCAGTAAACACCACTCAATGATGATTACTCAAACTCGCTCGATGGCACGACGATTGCTACTCTGTAATAATACCTGGGGCTGATCCAGATATGTCCAAAAGGGCCGAAATTGGGGCTGATCGAGACAACACTACCCAGGAGGTCCGGGGGCATTCCCCCTCGAAATTGTTGTATTCTAGACGCCTGAAAATAACTTCTGAAGCGTTTTTGGGGATCAACTTTTTCTTTTTCCTTCTTTTTTATTTACCTTTCCAAAAGGGGTCCGGGGCCGCCCCCGCCCCATCCCACTAAATCTGCCCCTGAATACTGTGTGCTTCTCTGTAATAAACACTTAGACAGGCCTATATTTCCAGAGGGTGAATACGTTAAGCACGAAATATAATATGGACTGGCTGATATCCATCGTTATTATTATTATTTTGAAAGCAACAATTACGCAATAGAAAACTACCGTACTTCTATCAGAATTTGTAGCTTTTTCATGGCTTATTTTGTGGCAGAACTTATTCAACGAATAACCATACTGTACATACGCGCTCTCGCTAACTGATGTTATGTACGCACGTGTGCCTATAGTTTATACTTCAGTTCGCGATGGAACCACTTTCATTTTCTTCTTTTATAACCATGCTTCATTTATCTTTTATAAAAAAAGAAAATAACTGTTATTATTGAAGATCGCTATGGTAAATTCAAATACTACATTGAATTGCTAATTTATATAGGTAGATTTCTGTGTTAACAGGTTTGAAACCTCTCAAATATGCAATTAAAATATTATTGCTCATATTTCAAAAGATTCAATTAAGATATGAGACACAGACCGAAACTATTCACTTTTAGCTGATTTACAGACGTTTTACAAGAAAAATCTTAAAATTGTCTGTCAGTAAAAACAGTATGTAATACTGTATGTATGTACAGTATGTTATAGTCTACTAACTTTAAAGCAATATTTTCTTGCTCTAATTTTTTTTGAGCTCTATTAACTTGTTCAAACATAGAAAATAAGCAATTTTATTTTTATAATTTATTAGCTAAACAGACATAATCTTTAATTTCGTTGTTTTCCTGGCGTATTTTTTGTTTTGTATTGTTTTTCCCCCGTATCGTTTCATAACACTTTCTTCTGTGTCTCTAGTTGAGGTGTCCAAAGTGTCATTCGACGCATCGGGAAAGAAAGTTTACCAGCAAACATGTGCGGACCTGGGTGTGATACCTGTTTCGCATTTCATGCGTCACATGCGAAGCCCAAAGGTAGTGATGAAACATCACGGACTAGGCCCGATTGGTGCTAAAGCGATTGCTATTCCACTTGTGGTAAGATGACATCAAGTTTGCATTATCTTCATGTATGGCGATTAGGAAGATCACCTAGCCCTAGAGTAGAGTTGGACCATTTTGTGGATACAATGGAGCTATAATATCTCTATGCATAGACAAATGAAACGAAAAACCAAAAACATACATTAATTTCTCTATAACTTTTCAGGACATAACGCTTTCATTGACCTAAAGGCTATTTAATTAAGTATTATAAATTAAAAATAAATATATAAATGACCATTATTATTATTATTATTATTATTATTATTATTATTATTATTATTATTATTATGTAAAAAGACTAACAGAAATAGCAATATATTGTATATTTCGATTTTTGAAATAAAGTTTGAATATAGGGCTAATCTAAAGAAAGAGATGGGCAGGGGCAGAACCAGCAGTGGGGAAAAGTGGGCATGTGCCCCCCCCCCCCCCCCACCGTTTTGCCACTAAATTTAACATTTTAAGGCATATATTGAGAGCAGCTTAGCTCAGTCGGCTAATCTGGTGGTAGCCACTACTATGTGTGCGCTGAACCGTGGAGATCTCTAGGTCCCCGGTTCAATTTCCATTGCTGCCTCTCCTTGTGTTTCAGCTAGAGGGCTGAAATACAAGTTACAATAGTGCACCATCTTTCAGATGAGACGTTTAAGCCATTGGTCCTGTGTGCATTATGGCCCGTGCATGTTAAAGAATGCAGTACACTCTTCAGAAAAGAGTAGGGAATTGTCACCTAGTGTACTACCCTATCACCACCAGAAGGAACCCACTGGAAATAAGTCTTCTTCTAGACTTTCGTGGGCTATCCTTGGTGTTTACACCGAATAAATCCAATCCAATATTAAAATTAGCGCTCTCACTTATCTATTCTGAATATGTGGTGCCCTCCCACCCCCGTTTGAAAAATTCTGGATCTGCCCCTGATGGGCTAAAAAATAAATCCCTTATATTTCTTCTTTTTTTTTTCTCGTTTTGATTTATATTAACTACTGTATAATATTCACTATTATTTATATTTTAACACAGACAAATACCAGCGTTCTAACTTTGGATTTAGAAGACAACTGGATAGAAAGCGATGGTGCCATCTATATTGCTGACATGATGAAAGAAAACTGTTACATTGCAGATTTGGTAAGAAATAATAAAATACACTTTACTTGAATACTACTGTAAACATTGGTACTTTTTAATGCAAAATAACATGATTCTTGTCAATTCCAATTAATTAGCAATATAACAATGTAGCAGCTCTTAATTCTTGCCACATCTCTAGTCTGTAGCAGACAAACCACCCTTCAATGCCACATCAAAAAGTAGCAGATATACTCTCCCAGCTACATTGCTTGATAGCAGAGTATGTCTTAGCCCTATCCCTAGCTAGGCCCTACATAGCAGCAGGGAAATTCCATATCGGAGGGCCACAATCACCAACAATTTAATCTACAATATATGAATCAAAAATCAGGTTTTGTTTTCTGAGTTGTTTTTTAGTCCCATAAATTTACATTCTTAAAATTTAACCATTGTCTACTGTTACTGTATATTGTTATAGTAGCTGTCTTCTTCGGAAGACACATGACCATCACTGACAGGATCCGGTGACATAATCACTGCTGGTGTTTACTTTGAGAGCCAAGATTTACCATTATGCTACACCAAATATGTATTTCAGTATATTTTGATTTAATTTTATATTATTCTAAATACTTGAGTTAATGTTCCCTACAACTCAAACCTTGGGATAGATAAGCAACATCAGATATTTCTCCCTGTAATTAAAGATCAAAGCTGGTAAAGACCATGAACATTCTAAATAGTGGAGTAGTATTGAGGTCTGTATTTGGACCCATACACCATAAATTGATGTTAATTTATTCATCAATTATAATTGTATTGTATGCCATATTATTGTAGTAACAACTAAATCTCTTATATCTTAAGTCCATAAGTCTGCAGTAAACAGCTACACCAGAAAGCTACATTTTCATAATTATACAAACATCTCTTTTGGGAATTGTGTGGGGGCACTCATTATATAATTTACCAATAAGCTGATTTACAAAACATTACAAAATATAAACAATTGTAAATTTGAAAAAGGAATTTACAGATAAAAAATTATTTATGACTAGATAAATTAACAACAGCTGAGCATGCCTCACACTGTAGCATACAGAACTTCCTATAAACCCAAGCATTGCACTTCAGACTACGTTTATCAAGGATAAATCTAAAAGAGAGAATTAAAAAAAATATATATAAATTAATATAACCATACTAATAATAATATATATTTATAAAATCTATATTAACAATATTAATAATTATCAAATATAATCAAAGAATATAAAATTGCAAGAGGTCCAACTGTCCTAATTTTGTATGCATACAGTGGAATGTTAAAAAAAAAAAGACTGCCAAGAAACTGGGAGCGCTCTATTAGAATTTATAATAATCTATACTCAGTTCTATACTCTGATAATATTTCAGAATTTTTACATTTTCAAATAGACATGAATATCAATAATTTCGATCACCAAAATGATGAAACAAGGGATGTACTGTATGTATGTTTTTGTTAATTGTGTTGAAATTCTTAATTGGTCCAGTTATATTTTTGTTATTTACATCAATTAATTAAGAACATGAGTGAGAACAAAATCGGAAGCAAAGGTGCACCGGCAATGTGTGAAATGATGCATGACAATCAAAGTCTACGCAAAGTGAATCTCTCAGGTAAATAATTAACTAAATGTTATTCTATATTGGATTTAATAATGTCCAAAGAAAAACCACACTGAACACATGTATTAACTATGGTTGGAAATGAAACAATAAAGACAGGCCCTAGAGAAAAACATGTTGTGAAAATGAATTTTCAAAGACTGGAACTGAATGAATAATGGGGAATGTCTAAATAAAATACACAATTTTTAATACTTAAAAAACTGGTGGAAAATGTAGCAAATTTCTGTATTTTATGTGGATTTACTGTATGAAGTGTTGTTTAATGTTATAATTCAAAATTCATCAAAAAGCTCAACTAGATGATGATAATTAAAAATTAAACACGTTTATTTTGTTAATACAAAGTACAGACTTGATAGACATCATAGGGAGCAACTCCCTGTACAAAATACCTGATAGCTGGAGATAAAATATTTGTCCCTAGCTAAAGTTAATCATAATAATCCATTAAGCTCAACTCCTGTATGCCCAAATATAGTCATGATGTGCCCATATTTGGTCATGATGTGATGTCATCACAACCATATTCAAGCATTTTACATGTTTTTGCCAAACATAATTTGATAATCTGAACAGCCTTTACAATATGAAGCTTTGTTTCCATATTTGCAGGGAATGGATTTGGAGACAGGGATGCAGAACACTTCGCTTATGCACTTCAAGTAAGTCGCAAATTAGTCCTTGAACATTGTCAGGCAAATTAGCTTATTAATCACACTTAATTAAAGCTGTAACTGTATCATGAATACATCTTAGTAACTAATTAGTATTTTTACATTCAAATACCAGATATAAATATTGTTAATGGGTCTGGTATAACTTGTGCAGTGATGATGTAGGCTAGAGTAAAGTGTGGTAATTCATAGGCTTCCTAGCAACCAATTAGAAGATACAAGGATGTACAGTATTATTTATTCATTTGTTGGTTGGTGTGAAAAATTAATTTTCATCAAATTCACATTTGATGAAAATTTTCTCCTGAAGCTGGAGAGAGGGTTAATTGCTACCCAGCTTTTGGATTAAAAAAAGAAGACAAAAAAAAAAACAAAAAAAAACTAATGATTGTGAAGAGTGAACTGGGAAAAAAGCGGATTGGATTGAAAAGTAAATTAGAAAAACAATAAATAAAATTTAAATAATCTAAAGGGAATGAACAATCAGTTTAGTGCCGTGGGCATCCTTCCTTTGTGATCAGGTAAAGTGTAAAGTGTTTGTTTCCTTTTTAGCTCTTTTCTTCTCACACTATTTTGTGTTGAAGGTATTCATTATTGAATAACATTATAAGTTCAGTGCACTAATAACTTACTTAAAATACAAAGCAAATACGTCAACTAAATATTTATTGTTCATGTTCATTTGCTCAATGCAGAGAGTATAGTAATAATATAAATGTTGTATACCCATATTACAGTCACGATGTTTCTATACTGTATATGGTCATGATGTGATGTCATCATCACCATATATAGGCATGTCACATGTTTTTGTCCAATCAAATTTGATAGTTTGTACAAGGCTTCATAATATGAAATTCTCCTCCACAGAGTAACTACAGTAGAATCCAGGAGTTAAATTTAAGTTATAACCAATTTTCAGAAACGGGTGGTGAAATCCTTGGCCCTGCCATAGGTGAGTTTGCTCAAGATGATAATTAATATTCAGAATTAAACTTTTATTTACAGTTTAATTTAATCAGACGACTCTTTAATGGCTAGTACAGTTTGCCATGGACAAGTAGTAAAATAATTAAGTAAATGAATAATAACTTTAATCTAAATATTGGTATTAATTTTGTTGGTAAATTCACAACTTTAGGCAAGTTTGAGAATTCACAATGATGATAATGAATGTACCAGCGTTAGTCTAATTACAGCAATGTCGAAGACTCAGATTTTATAATGAATTAATGAATAATAAATGTAGCTGTATTACTCTAATTACAACAATGTAAAAGATGAAAAGAACAGCACTTTTCCGACTAACATGAATTTAATGAACATTCATTAAATCCTGTAGTTAAGTGTTGCCCTTTCCAACTTTCACAATAATTAATTGATATAAACCTATTTTCCTTGTAGCAACAAATGATACAGTAGAGATCTTAAATCTAAGTTGGAACCACATCAGAAGGAAAGGTGCCATTAGCATATGCAGAGGATTAGCGGTAAGATCAATGTTTTCAATTCATAAGCAGGGCACTAACTGCATTGATCAGCCAACGAATCCACCTTCGCTCTCAGTGAGCGCTTGACAACGCGACGTCATCTGTTTGATGACAGTCTGAGCAACAGTTATTAGAAACAATCCGTTGCAAGCACATCCGTACACTGCATTCCCAATAAAAATTCCGCCGGCCAGCAACCGTCAGTAGTAGTGTGTGTTTCGGATTTAGTCCCAAGTGGTCATTTGATTCATTCCTGATATGTTTGATCAAAAAATTTATATTCTTCATTGTATTTATATTCTGATAAATTAATGATCAACATATTGATAAAATGCAAACTTAAACCTTAAAGTCGACTTTGCCTAACTCGATAAATTTCTAAGTCGATCTTATTTTAAATGCCAAATTGTTGTGTTTTCCATTAATTAACAATCTGTAAGTCAAATTTTATCTAATTAAAACAATTTTTTAATATTATTTTGGATTCGACTTAGGAAAAATTCAACTACTGTATATTGATATAATGTTGATAAAATGTTAATATTAGAAATTCCAGGATGGTGTCTGGTGCAGGACAGTTTTTAACCTGTATTTATTTATTTCTTTATTATTATATTTTCTATTCTTTTTTTTTCAGTCAAACTATGACTTACAAATAACTTTTGCTCTACAAATTTACTATCCAGTCTCACTGAATTGGATACAGCACATTATTAATAATTAGTATTCATCAATGAACTTTATCATTGTGTTACAGGAAAATATAGGAATTAAAGTATTAGATCTATCATGGAATGGACTGGCCAATGAAGGTGCTCTAGCAATGGCCGAAGCCCTGAAATTTAACAGCAACCTCATTGAATTAGATCTTAGAAATAACAGAATAACCAATGAGGGCGCTGTTTTACTCTCTAAAGGACTGGAAATAAATGACACACTGCAAATTCTAAAGGTAAGACAACAAAAGCATGATAAAGAATCTCCTGTCATTCTGTAGAATCCCAGAATAGGCAAACAGTGAGTGTACTATATTGCTGTCTAGAGTGAGTGGATATAAATGACACATTTAATCATAAAGGTGAAGCAAGCAAAAGAGGTGATAACGAATCTCTTGTCATTTTCTACAATCTCAGAAATAATTGGACAATTGCTTTTGCAGTAGACTTGCTCATTAGAATGAGTGAAAATTAATGACACTTTAAAGAAAGTCAAAGGTGAAAAATAAGCAACAGAAAAGGATCTTCTTACATTCTCATAAAACTAGATCTCAGAAATAATAGAAAAACTTATGAGGCCTTATTAATCTTCTAGCTAGGGAGACAAGTGGAAAAGGTGATGAGGAATTGTACCTACCCAATAATGATTACTGATATCTCTCTTAGATCAGATGTTTTGTTTGTTTTGATTTTTTTTTTATTTCCCTCACATCCAACATCACGTACACTTGGGGCTTAGGGAGTGGAGTTGTTTTTGGTTGTGAGAAAAATTCCTGCTGTGACAGGAATTAAACCCAGGATCCTGGGATCAAAAGAGGAGCATCTTAACAACTGAGCTATTCAACTCCACTGTTAATGCACTGTACTTCAGTTTTAATCAATATTATTTTGAGCCTTTTATCACAATTTTCATTTATATTCATTTTATAGCTATCATTTACATTTTTTCTGCATATTTAATTTAGTTGTTATGGTTTCTTTTGTATTTTTCCCAGTATTTTTGCAGCTGTTGGAAATGTTGTGCAATAAATCAATTAAGTAAAGTCAGCAGAGAGATAATAAATTGGTATTAGTTTTGAATTAGGGTGCTCAAACAAACCTAAACATGTTATTCCAGATCAATAATTATCATACCTACATTTCCTTTTTGAGGTAGGGCCTGTGTCCAGTTGATGCCATAATTGACAGTCACTTACTAAACATGCAAGTCTTTCAACAGAGAGTAATCTTAATAATTGCATTTTTTAAAATATTAGGCACATGTTAATAGACCATGGGAAATGTGTTATAATATAAATAGTGTACTGATTACTGATTTACAGACTCTTGGTGAAGAATATTTTTTTCTCTATATAAACTGAAAAGCTAATAACTTTGAATACAGAGCACAGTGTTCTCCTAATCTCCTAATAATAACATTTTTACTGGTAAATTTGTCCATAAATATTCAGCTATGCATGCAGTGTGAGGGGGGGGGGGAACATTTCATGAATCCACACCCACCATGTTTTACGTGTACAGCACACTTTCGTCAAAACTAGGGTCATTTATGCAGTTCATTTCAACAATTTTCAGGCATCTTCTTGACTTACGAAATTATTACATTGCGGACAAAAAATGAAGAGACCAACCTCCCACCCCCTTAAATTATTAAAATATTTGGGGACGTGTTCCACTGTCCCCCATTGATCATGGGTTTTGGGGGCCCGCCCCTTTCAATTGAGATTTGTTTGGAATTAGAAGACGGCTAGACACTCTTGGATGACATCCGAAAAGAAGTTAAGCTTAAAATAGAAAGTGTACACTTTATGAGAGTAGCCTACTACACGTAACATGTATACATGAGAAGCACACCGTAAGACGAGTGACCATTTTTTTTCACGATTACCGAAGGGGGGGGGGGGGTGTGGCTAGCCACCCTATCCACTTCCCACTGTGAATAGTTTATGTACATTGTAAAAATTTTCTTGAAGCACTTGGTTGTGTGTAAAAGAAGATTACATACAGTCATATTAAAATAATAAATTTACAGTACTAAGTTTTTTACTTTCATTTCAGCTTGGTTTAAATCCAATTACAGCAGCTGGGGCTCACTCGTTACTTTTAGCGATGCGTGTTAACACGAACACTGCCATCATTGAGATTGATTTCACGGTAAGCATCTAAATACCGTACAGACAAAATTTTGTTTACCCCACTCCCCATAAACTAATAAATGAGATGAGCATTGTACTATTGATAGTTAATTATGGTATAATCTCCATAATGATGATCATGACCAGTGGCGTATCTAGGGTGCGTAGGGGGAGCACACACCTCCAAAAATTGCTTGCGCCCCCCTTTCCCCCATCCCACAAAAAATCGCGGTCAAGTAGTTAAAAATCTCCTAATATCACCTTATTTTGCGAATTGGCGCCCCTCAACTTATCATCGAGCCCCTACTTCACTTTCCCGCCCCAACAGCACCCACATTTCAAGACTTCTAGATACGTCACTGATGACGACAGAGAGATGATAACACTAAATAATGCTATTTATTACAGCAATTAATTTTTAGTACTCAACATCTCTGAATTGATGCAATAATTATATTGAACAATCCTCAGGATATCATGGTCAACAAGGATTTCCTAGAGCTCCTACAAGAAATTCAAGAAATTCGTCCTGAATTCAGAGTGATTTACAAGGGTGCATTCGGAGCATTTAAGAAACCTGAGAAGGAGAAACCAGACCCACTAAAGATGTTACGAGACTACATTGAAAAGAACAACTTGCGTGTATGGGACCTGTTCAAGGCCTATGACAAAGACAAGAGCATGAGTGTTTCCAATGAGGAATTCAAGAAAGGCATCAATGTAAGATTTTTAAAATATTTTTTACAATATATAAATTTAGAGCACTAAAAATGTTTTCAGTCCTTGTATTATTCGCGAGTCATTTGCTTTTCTAAAGCACTATCAAATTCTATGACAGATTTGTGTGGTGTGTCTATATATGGGCATGATGATGTCATATTACACCCAAATATGGGCATATCACATTCATAGTGTGGACAAAGCTTAAGGATGAAAATAAAATATACTGGTGACAAGTAAAACTAATAGTGTAAACAAATCACAGTGACCGTGACAATAATTATCAAATTAAAAAAAGTTAAACATAATTTACATCATGTTTAATTTTGATACAGGCTTCTGGACTCCCAATGAGTGACAGCCAAATTGATGAGCTAATGTCTACACTTGATAAAGATGGCGATGGTGAAATTGACTACAGGTGGGCATCTCATTTGAATATGCAAATTATGTTAAATAATTCACAGTTGTAGTGCACATTACTAATTTATAGAATTTTTAACTAACAAAATCCTGAATTTGACAGTCAGCCAATTTAGGGGCAGAATATGCAGCTGTTAATTGGTCATAAAAACACAATTCATGTTTTAATCATCATAATTCTTAATTGAAATCAAAGAGTTTACCTAATACAAACCCACAAAATTAGTATTTTCTTCACAGACAAATGAAATCTTAATTGACCAATTAATTTCATCATTCTGCTGATTTCAACTAATTATTGAATAGAGCAGTTCAAAGTTCTTTATTATAGTTTCATTCACACAATAATTTTTTCATTAAGGCCAAATAAAAATAATTATTAATTTAGCACACTATCTGGGCTAGAAAATGAGGGAATGGGGTTTTTATTTTTATTTTTCTAAAGCCAAATATCATCCTTGGGTTGTTTGCTGGTCCATGGATATTCAAAGTAAAATACATGATTGAGATAATACAAACAATATCTACTAACTATTTACTAAAAAAATGAAAAACAATTTTTAAAAAAATGAAAAAAATTTTTTTTCAATACTAGAAGACATGCAGGCAAGAGTGATAAACTAATCTTTTTTTTTTATTGGGCCTAATCAATCATCACCTGAACTCTCGCCTTTCTTTTCATTTTGCGTAGGACTTTTAGTCAGTTGGAGGAGATGCTGACACAGCTACCTGTAGCCTAGGTTTTTGACACAGTCTGCAGGAGTCAGGACTTTCAAATAGACAGAGTGAAAGGATAGGATACAGCTAGCTTCATTTTGTAAATTATAATGTAACTAAATTTAACAGGCAGGCTAAATGAGTGAATTAATTTTCTATCAAAATAGATGTATATACTGTATTTAAGTATAAAACTATAACAGATTAATAAGTATATATTTTTTTATCTCAGAAGTTTGAATTATTTTGAAAATAAAAATGATAGATACAAAGAATAAATTGGGAAAATTTTTTTTATGTCAAATGTCATGTATGGTTAATGTATATTTGCACAATCTTGATTGAAGTTTACAAACCTGGTGAGCTTTCAGTACAGTTAAACTATAAGTTCATCTAATTCTAAAACTACCAGTAAATGTATGATGATTGTTATATTTTTCTAAACAATATAGAAGAAATTAAAGATTAATAGGAAGTACCACCAGATAGGGCAGATTTTTTACTAACGTGTTTGAGTCATTAAAGTCTTTGTATAAATTTTAATACCACCAGACACAGTAAGTATTCTTATATTATATTTAATGCAGACATCTTTTAACTTATTCCAAAAGCAATTTATATAGGTATTAACTTTTTCTCATTATATGCTAAACAAGCATATAAGTATCTAGAAAGCTAATGCTCATGTTTGCTTTATCACCTTTACAATTCAGTGAGCTCGTCCTAGGACACAGAGTATCAAAGCAAACGGCAAGAGATAAACGGAAGGAGAAGATGATCAAGGTGTTTGATCGCCGCTCCGATGCAACATTTATTCCCGTTGCCCAACAGTTTGTTGACCTCGATGTTGATGATGCAACTAAGAACATGTCCGAGGAGCGGAGAAATAAACTGAACAAAACTCTCCGCCCGGATGTACAGCAGTGGGACGCACAAGGAAGGAAAGGCCAGGCCGTCGGGGCTGCGCTTCGTTCTCTTGATGCGACAGTTGATTTAAACAAAGATTTACGAAAGAACTACACCAAAGAAGAAACGTTTCTGAGTAAAACAATGGATTTTGCCAATTTTGAGGCCTTAAATCCTAAAGATAAAAAATTTACAAAAGGAAGAAGACCGAGGACACCGAGAGATTCACTCCTTACACCACGTAAAGGGAGTCCAGCAAAACTGGATCCACAGCCCCATGAGCTACTCCAAACATTATAGAAGATATTCAAACAATGTGATCATACTTCTCTTTTTGCATTCCAATGTTCCATCCAAATTCAAACCTTTTTTTTTTATTAACAAATTATGGTCTTTTATTGTACTTTCTTCCTGAAAACTTCAATTCAAAAGAGGTTCTGTTGGATGGATAACCTAAAATTAGATGGTTGAATAATCTTGTGGTATCAACATGGGGATGGGGACTGCAGTGTTCTCTCGAAGCAATTTTAGTTGTCAAATTTACCGGTAAAACTAACCAGTCAACCATTAAAAATGTTGTGTTTGTCAAAAAAAAATAAAAAATTAACTGATTACTGTTAGGCCTAGGTAGTCTAGTCTGGCTTTCTTTCAATAAAATGAACATCATTCCAGTCATATATCTAGGCCATCATGAGTGTATGTGTTGTGTTCATTAAACCCCACTCAAAAGGGGTAAAACGCCTCACACCGTGTGCATAGCAAAATTTTTATGGACAAATTTACCAGTAAAATTGTTTCAATTGGTAGAACACTGGTCTAGGTGAGAAAGTTAGGGGGAAACTAGTTGGAGGAACAAGGTTACTGGTGGGTATTGCTACTTAATTGTAATTTGATCAAATAACTGTTTTGTTCTGTACACAGAATGAAAGAAATCAACTCAAACACCTCAAAGTAATTATGTATCTGATTAAATAGGCCTACTGTATGTATGAGGTGGATGTATTTGCATTAAAATTACAGGGTTTTAACCTACTATAAGGCTCTTTACGCACTCCATCACATTTTTTTGTGAGAAATATCAATGATTCAACTACAGTTATAGGCATGTTGTTATGTTACACCTGTGAAGGCAAAACCACAGTCATTATGTCACAGTGGATTGATAATGTGAATGGAGGTTAGGCCTCATAGGGTGTGAAATATATACGTGAGGGTTTCGTACCATTAAGAATGTAGTGCAGAATCATGACATGCAATAAAAAAAAAAAAAACCCACAATTTTTAAAAGTACTAATGTATATAAATAAAAATGACACCTTTAATGAAAATTAAATTCCAAAAAGCAATAAATGTAAAAAGTTATAGACAATCATTGACCGTTTAAATTGCCACTAAGTAGAGCCATATGATGTGACTTAGTTTTAAGCTCTGGATGTGAAATATATATTATGGTATATGCCAGAAAAAAAGGTAGTAAACATTGTAATACCAAAAATAAGATAGTTAAGTATTCTGAATATGTAATAAAGAAATTTAAAAAAGATGAATTTCAAAATGGTGGAGGAATAATTTCACGATCTCAAATTGTGTTGTGAAATGATGATTGCTAATCAATCAATAAATTTTGTTGTATGTTGTGTAGACATTATATTATATTATTTCTTTATTACACAAGGCTCTCTGAAAAAGGCAGTATTTAATCATATTGAGAGGCCAATCTGTATAGAAAATCAATTTATATCACACACTAAGGCTTTTTAGTTCACTACCTCAACAAATGAAAGGTAATACATTTACTATACTGTGTTCCTTTAACCAATATTATTGTTGCTTATTGTTTTACAAAGTTCTGTATTTATTTATTTATGTTGGATTAAATCATGTTTAAACCTATTCAGGTAAAAGCACAACATCAGTATTACTTACAATCATGGTAACATAATGAATTAATGTAACTCACAATTATGTCATATTTCATCACTAGTGTATTATCATTATCTTTTTTAAACAATAAACAGGATATAAATGAAATACTTATGTAATTAATAATGAATGTTCTTCTGAAGAGCAAATTAAAATGACCAAATAATGTCAATGATTCCATGAGTATCATGTGTTTCTATCTGATGGCATGCAATCTAGAACAGCTTTCGGTGATGCAATGTAATCACACACACAGTGAGTACTTCCACAGAAAATAAACAAATCTTGTAACAACAAACATTCCAAAGTTTACAATTCTCAAATCGCATTATTAATGTTTTGTAGTTCACAATAAAAACAAAAATCACATGTTAGTTTCAATCACGAATGAAGAGAGCTAGAGAAGTAGGTGACTGAATCGGTAGATTGGTGTATAAGACACATGCCTTCCAGTCAATACCAGGATGTATTTTTATAAATACTAACTGCACTGTCCAAGACTCATTGGAAATAGTTTTATAAAACATTACAGTATTCCAAAGAGAGAAACTACTAAAGTTTCAGAAAAGAAAAGAATCGAGAGCAGCTTCAACTTCAACTTTATTTATTCTTCAATCAATGTAAAACACAAAAGACATGAATAAAATATAAAATGATATAAAGAACAACTAAAAAAATAACTTAAAAGAGCCTATAAATCAAGGTGCCCTAACTAAGAAATATTTTATAAAGTTTAAAATGTTTTAGTTATGATTCATGATTTATTATTTTTTCACTGAAACGTTTTAAGTAAATAAATAAATGTCACAAAAAGTAAAATACAAAAAAAAACACACAAGCTCAACAACACACACACACACTCTAATAAAATAGGCCAATAAATGAATAAATAAATATATAAATATGTGAATAAATTATATTTTTTAATTAAAAAAAATAAAATTAAAGAAGATAAGATGAACTTTTATTGTTCCATCAAATATGTTGAAAATTCATGGTCCATTTGGTCTAAAATACAAAAAAAAACATTAATTAAATTACATCACAATTCAAATAATAAATGAAAATAAAGTGCAGCCTTACTGTTAATCCATTGTGAATATCCGTGAGGCTATATCGTCAATCAACCAATCAATACCGGTCAAAAGATTTAATCCAGTCACTGCACTACATCCAATGATCATCCAATGATGTGTTTTAATTTGATCCAAATCCAATGCCTGCAAAATTAATTTAATAAAATTGATCAACTGAAATTTAATCAAATCAGTGTAAGCACTACAAACTCATATTAACAGTTATATAGTTAGTTTACCCATATTTATGTGTGGAGAGAGATAAGTGTAGATAAAATGCCTTTTCACTGCTTCAACTGTTAATAAGAATGCTATACAAATATTAATTTTATTAATTTAATTTGTATTAAATATTGCATTAAACATAAAGCAAAGCCAATGAGATGTCTGATGAGCTAATATTAATAAATCTTAAATTGGAACTATATCAATAAAATACAATACAATTAATACAATGCGAGTCGAATGGCTGAGCGGTTAAGGCAGGGGCGCTGCAACCTACAGCCATAATATCGGCGCTGGTTCGAACGTCATGCTTGTCTATGGATCCAGAGGTGGAACAAGTCTTCTCGGATAAGGACTATAAACCGTAGGCCCAATGTACACAATTAGCTCATGGCTTATTCGCTCTCGAATAAGTGCCGCTCTTTAATTAAAAAATATAAATGTTCAAATAATTACTAATATTAATGAGAGTACGTTTTGTATAAATATTTAACATAAAAATAACGCTAAAAAGAAAAGATCGACGTTTCGACTCCTTCATGGTGTCATTTTCAAGATCAAATGATATAACTAATATAACTAATAAATACTTAATATAAAAATGATAAACGGTTTAATAATGTAGAATTTTTTAAATATCATTTATATCAGAAACTTACTAATACACGTAACATAGCCAAAAGTGGAAACCAATAAAAAAAAAAACTTACTTGTCTGATTTCTTCGGGGCTCAATGATCCTGGGAGATCCTGCTTATTGGAGAACACCAATAAAGTTGCACCAGCTAACCTCTACAAATTAATAGAAAAATAGTTATAACATTGATTGAAAGACTTACATAAGCAGTATTTGAGTGTAAAAATGTAAAAACGATGATAGCATTGTTTTGAAACTGTCAATATCTAGAACTCTGCTTCTTAAACTATGGGTTGCGACCCAAATTTGGGTCGTCAAAACATTAATATGAAGGTCTGGACCGCAATTTGGTAAAGCGCATTCTGAAACTTGGTGGAAAATACTTCTACAAAGCCGTCCTACAAAGAATTTAACTACAGAGATACACCCAGACATAGCTAAAAAGGTGAAAACTTGAAATTCATTTTTGACCCAAAACCTGGTAGCTACACCAATGGATGCACTGTTGCCTACCTCTCCAGGGAGTGATAAGATCATTAACACAACTAAAACATTAATAACACAAACAAAAAGTTACATCATGTTTAAAATGATGAGTTTTTCTTTTTGAGTTTGTGTTCGTGTATGTAAAAATTTAGGTTACCTAAAAGTACTGCAGCTGTCATAAACTGATAAAATATAATGAGCTATTCAGCACTGTTTTTACTGAAAACAATTCTAGATTTAATAACTGTGTACGCAAGCCTGTGTTTCAGTGAAAGTTTTAAGCCAGGATAACTTGCACACTTACTCTACTTTTGTCTGTCATATATATATATATATATTACACTGTTCATCTGACTTTTGATAGTGTGTTGGCTAGTTTTAAACTTTTGATCAAACAAATAATTTGATCAGATGTCTATCATTCCTTCTTAGTGGAAATGGCACAATATTCTATCTCATAAAAGTTGGATCAAACATTGGCTTTAATAAGTCTTAAGGGAAAAAATGTAAAATTTATACTTAAATTTAGTACAGAAAGTGCTACTCTACAAGTTTTATATCACCAAGTAAATATTAACCTCTTCTTGGAGAAGACCATGCAGTTCTGTCTTGCAATCTTCTAATCGCCTTTTGTCTGCACTATCTACAACCCACACCAGTCCATCGGTGCTTTCAAAATAGTTCCTCCAATAGGATCTCAGCGACTTTTGACCACCGACATCCCATATATTCAACTTGAAGCTGTAATATTTAAGCAAATTCACAAGCATTTAAAGTTGGTGATGTTTATTACTGATTGGTTTTGAAAAATGAAATATATGAAATGGTTTATTGCCTTTCACTACTCATACAAGGCAAAGCAACAGTTAATATAAAACATAGAAATATAGTGTACCTGTATAACAGTAATATATAAAAAATATGCTTAATATAAAAAGGGTTATTAACCACAATAACAAACATTAAAATCATTTTGTTGGCTTATAAATCAAATTAAATGATGGTACTGTAAGATTGAAATTATGGACAGTATTTTAGACAAATAGATTTAATTACAATACAGTTAATCATTAATTTGCTTAATTTCAACTTACTCTCGATGTTCCAGTGTTTTAATGTTGAATCCTAGAGTAGGTGATATTGTGTTTATGTCTTCACCATTGAACTTCTTTAGGATAGTTGTCTTGCCTGCATTGTCTAATCCACTATAGACAAAACAATCAAATTAATATGATACAGTTTCATTTATTTATTTTATTCAATTCATACAACATTAAAAACACTAAGAGGTTTGTGAGCATCAAAGACAAAAACATTATTAAAATGACTTCAGCAACTAGATTATAAAACCACAGTTGTACGTAGGCCCTACCACCATTTTAAATCAGAGTCAGCACCTTTGTATTTTATTAATTTATTATTAGTTTACTCCCAAGTATAGGTCATCAAAGCGACAATACCAGGCACAAGCTATCTATATACAGTAATTATAATTTACAGGCCTAGATAGCCTGCTACAAAAGGTGACCTAGCCTGCCTACTCTATACTACTAGTAGTAGTAGGCCTACTACTAATACAGCAGAACACTGTCACTAGCTTAGGCCCTAGGTAGGCCTAGTTTACTAGTAATAATAATAATATTAGTATTATTATTGGGTCCAGCCAAAATATTAAATAAATTTTGATGAAAGTTTTTAATTCTAACTTTTTCTTTAGTTTATTATTTTAATTTAATTAATTGTTATCTCTCAATCCAGCAAGCTGTACCTAAGGGTATTACTGTCAAATAGCGTACTATACACAGGCTAGGCCTAGGTCTAATCAATACTAACTAGGTCTAGGCTAGGCCTCTTGTCCTTGTTGTTATGCAGAATAACGTGTAAACTCCAGTCGGCCAAATCTATTCCAGCCTGGCAGGCTAAGCAACTGCTGGTGGTGAGGCTTAGCTAGGGTCTACACAAACCACTCTGGCATATCTCTGTATTGTCAAGATCACATGCAATCATAACTTACAGCATTAATAACCTCAGTTCCTTTTCTTTTTGTTTCATTTTTCTCAAAATTGAATGAAGACCCATAATTAACGTAATAATACTTCAGAATTTAATATATCGAAGTATACTTTCCCGAAATATGGTTACCATTTGTTTCTTAGGTCAAGGGTTATACAATAATAATTAGTCATCATTATTATGAATTATATGTAATGATTTTATTATTTAAAAACTGGTATGTATCAAAATATTTTCATGGTTAAATAGCAATAATATACATTCATTAACACTGTATACCGTGAATTTAAATGGAAATTATTTATAGGTAATTATTGAATTTAGCATCTCAGAGCATTGTGTAAATGCCGGAAGTCTGGTCTTTGCAGTCTGACAGTACAATCCACATAGGCCCTTTCTCACTCCACTCACTCTCACTGACGTTACACAATGGCTACTAGTAATAGGCCTAAGCTGGGTAGAAAAAAGGAGCAATGGGTACGGAGCTTTACAGTTTCCGATCCAATTACACATCCTAAAGGATTCACTATTTACAAAGTAACATATATGGTAAGAATTTAATTGATTTGTTCTTCAGAACATTAGATTTCCGTTTCAAAACTGTGGGCCTAACTAAGACTAGAGAGCCCCATCATCATGAGATGGGGCTAGCCTAGGGCCTAGCCCTAGCAGCACATCATTGATTCAGTGAGGAGATACTGAAACTGAAAAAAATTAATGAAGAGGCTCTGGCCTTACTTTGGTTGTAGGTTGTTTACTTTAGGCCTAGGTCTACTCCTACCAGACGTATTGAAATTTTGCCTGTCTCTATTGTTCTTTCTTATTAAATAAGGATAATGATGATATTGCTACGCTACTTACTTAAATATTTTTAAAAACAAACAAAAGAAACAAAGTAAAAAAATAACAATTATGTAATTCATCAATTACTGTAATTACTGTATGACATTTCAAGATGTCAGTCATTCATGTCAATCAGTGATTGACAACAGACACATAGAGTTCCCCAGATTAGCAGTACATGTACTGTACTATAAAGAGGCCTGTAAAATTGCTTTGTTCATTTATTTATAAATATAAATATTATAAATCTGTTAATTCTTGATTTTTATGTAATTTATTACCGTTTATTTTCTCTTTTTCTGTATTGTCTTTGAGCATTCATAGTGAGCCTCCGTGTATCAGCTATGCTGGAAAGGGTCACCCACTTTAAACATTGTTGAAATAAAATAAATAAAAATTTATAGTAATATGTGCAATAAAAATTAATGATTTTAATAATTAATTCTGCTTTAAAAAAAAAAATTTAATAATTAATTCTGCTTTTAAAAAAAAATTAATTAGTAAATAATTTTTGACTCTCAAAAATTGTTTGTTTTTTTTTTTTATTATTGTTATTTTGTTGTTTTTTTTTTCATTTTAATTGAAATAATTTGTGCAATTGAAATAAATGAATATAATAATTACTTGTAATTGTTGGTTAAATTTAAATTTTAAGTTTATGATACACATATTTGTAAATTATGTTCTTTCTAATTATAATATAGCTTTATCCTTTTGTAATACAGTATTATATTGTATAGTTTTGTATCCTTATATAGTATCTTAATGTTTGAATTATTAAATTTTTACTCTTCTTAATATACAATTAAACTTGCTTAATTCAACTTTGCCTAACTCGAATATTTTCTAAGTCGGTCTTATTTTACATGCCAAATTCTTGACCATCTGTTCAATGCCATTTTTGGATTTGACTTAGGCAAGTTCATCTGTACTTCATTTTGTTATATTCTAGGCATACATGTATTGTTTTGAACACATTTTAGCCTTGTGCTACCGCTTGTAATTGTCATTATTTTTTTTATACTGAATAAATAAATACATAGTATTACCAAGTAATACAATAAACCTAAATCATTATTTATATAATTTGATATTAACAGGGGTTTTTAATCAACAAGCCAGAAGAAACAATTGAGGTAAGTCAAGTGGTATACAAACATTTAATTTTGTACAATGAAGGTTTCATTATCTACCAAGGCAATCCAATTTTGGCATAGTTTTAGTAGACAACCTAAATTTTTTGTCACTGGAAAAATTATGTAAAACCCACGGAATGAGCCATCAATTTATCTGTCTAACATTTATTATACAGTTACTAAACCTGTTTTGAACAGCATAGTTTGAATACTAAACAACCCAATTTTTTAGAACAACTCAATTTTTAATATTGAAAAGTTTTTTTGTATGTAAGTACAGTGGTTTAACTCTTGGGATTTTAATATCTAAAATATTTACAATAAATATGTTCAATATTATTATAAGTTGTTCTGGGTCAGTCTGACTGCTTAACTTTTAAAAATTGATTTATGTTTTTTAGGTAACAGTTTGGAAAAGATATAATGATTTTAAGAAACTGTATAAAGCACTGTTTACAATTCATCAGCAAATGCGCCGGCCAGAAACATTTCCTCCGTTTGCAAAGGCGAAACTTTTCGGTGAGTTTTTTACCAAAATGTAGTGACTGGTCTAATAATAAATTATGAGAAGGAGGCTGAAATACTAATAATTTGTAAAACTGATTTTCTTTTACAATAAGGTCGATTTGATGAAGAAGTTATTGAAGAACGACGGAAAAGCACCCTTAAGTTGTTGGAATTTACTGCTACAAAGTCCTACCTAGTCAACAGTCAATATTTTGTTAAATTTTTTGAGGTAAGTCACAAATGCTTATATAATCATCATTAAATCTTCAGTTTGTATTGTATAGATTATTTAAAGTATGAAATATAATACATTATTACTTAATTTTTGAATCGTCATTTGTGCTAAATCCTGAATAGGGAGGTGAAAAGAAAGTTTCAGAAGAAAAAGAACAGCCAGTCCGAAAAAACATATTAGTGCCAGAAATATTAACTCCTCAACTCAAGAACCAAGAAAAAACTGAAACAATTGAACCACCTCAAGTCAGTTCTGGTGCAAATTCTCCTAACCTGGCCCGACGGATATCGGAAAATCCCTCATCCGACCTGGGTGGTATTTGGCTTCATAGACAGGATGAGGAAGATGATCCACTATCAGAGTTAAGAGGATTAGACATTCAGGATAGCCAAATTAGTTTTGATGGTGATGACGATGATGATGACAGAACAACCTTCAGTGAAGACTCAGTGCCATCAACTCCTCTTCCACAAGTGCAGGACCTCTCCTTCTTCGATCCACTTGCTGATGCAGGTCAGTAACCATCTTCTCATTTTGATCCTTCTTTTGATCTTTTTTCTTGTCTTATAATTACGTGCAATGGGTTTAATCTAGTACAGACTACAGGCATCAGTTCAATCCTATAATTGCAACTTCCCAAGTCACTTGTTTTTGGATAAAAATAAATAACTAAATACCGTAAAACCTCGAATAGAAGCCCAATGGGTTAATCTTGAAGAAGCCCATCTCGAATTGAAGCCCCCTTTTAAGTTTGCAAAAGTAGCCTCGAAAAGAAGCCCATCTTGAAAAGAAGCACATGGGCTTCTTTTCTAGAAAGAAGCACATGAGCTTCTTTTCTAGATAGCATGGGCTTTTTTTTTTTGATATAGTACAGTACATACACCGTACATGAATTCCAAAGAAACAAAATAAATTAAAAACATTTGGTGTATGCAGTAATTTAGGCGATTTAATGCCAGTTAATACACTCCATGATACAGATTGATGTTACAGTGGCCCTATTTATTGTTTTATAGTAGTAATTCCCAAAATTTACAGCATTCATTTTGAAAAGAAGACCTCACTTTACTTTACAAAAATAGCTTCAAAAAGAATCCCATCCAAAGTTTGCAAAACAAAAAAAAGGAAGCTCAGGGCTTCAATTCAAGGTTTTACGGTATAGTCTTTGGAAATAACAAGTTGATTTGGAATTAATTTGTTTTGAATAGAGCTTCCTGTAGAGTCAAACGATGGCCTAATGTCACACAGTAGTAGCTGGCTCTTTGAGGCAATGGATATGTGTGCTGGATTGCAAGAGAAAGAGGTACCAATTGATTCATTTTCAACAGCATCATCTGACACTCCTAGTGATGGAATCACATTGAACTTCCCAAGACAACCAGTCAATCATGTAGCACCAGATTATGCTGATGCTGGCACCAGTAGTCACACTACAACTACAGAAAATACATCTCACTTAAAAGCTGAAGAAAAGGATTTATCCGGTGAAAGTAGGGTTCCTGAAACGCGCAGAGATGATCACCATGCAAAGTCAATGGCGAGAGCTTACTTAAACTGCATTCGGGCCCAGCAAGCAGCTGAGCGGGATGAACAGCTAGGCGCTCATGGCGGTATTGTTGACAGTAGGAATATGATGGTGCAGCAGTTACCAATCGGGGTGCAAAATGAGGCATTGCATGAAATAGCATCTCGTGAAAAAACTAACATAAACTTATCTGTCGATACCGTATCTACAATGGACCTCGGTGGTGAAGAAGATTATTTATATAAAGCAGCTAATCATATTCAACTTGCTTTGGAAAGTGAATCTACAGGGAACTATAAGTCTGCATTTACTTACTACAAAACTGGGGTCAATGTCCTACTACAAGGTGTTGTTAGTAAGTTCAACATTCTATTTATTTCCCTAAAAATTAATAATATGTATAGGTGCGCCTTACTTTACTTTATCCTGATTCTTACATTTTTCAGCGGACAACAATAAGGCCCGACGTGAGGCAGTTCGTCGCAAGACAGCCCAGTACCTAATGAAAGCAGAAGACTTATATAAGAAGTTCCTTTCTGCAGAGGCCGCGAGTGCCAATCGCTGGAATGTATGTTAATCGTTACTGTTTTTGAATTGATTTTTAGTTGAAGTTTTTGAATGATTTGATAATTTAGTACTTAATGGACTGCACAGGCTGGGTCTGAGAATTTTTTGAGTCTGAATATCACTGGCCTGGATGTGTTTCTCCAGACGTATAACGTTTAATTGATTCATTTTTAACAACAAAGTTTAATGTCATGTTATACCAAAATACAGTATTAAGGGATACTGTTGTAGTTGACAATATATTTCTTAGAGTCAGGCATTTAATTAATGTGCGATTTTTTTTGTTTATTTTTTCTAGTCAGATAAATTTCATATGGAAATTAATCACAACTCAATTCATTTACGAGGGTCATTTGATGACCTTAAGAACTTTAAAGTGATTGGAATAATTGACCGGGTGCTTCTAGTGCTAGATATGGTGTCTAACCAAATGTTTGTAATCAAAGTAAGTGCTTATTAATATTTTACATCAATCTTATTGGTAGTACTGTACACACATTTTGGCTTCCACTACTTAAATATGGTACAATATCCCACTATTTTTCAATCAATTAGTCATTCATTCCATATCTTGTCATACCTATATGCTGTACTTGTGGTATATATCTCGGTTTTTAAAAATTTATATTAATATTATCTAAAATAATGACAATGAAATTGATAATAGCAATAATAGTCATCCTCCTGCCCTTTCACATTTATGTTAACAATAATACTGAAGTATTATAATGTGCCCAATGTACTTACTGTAGAGATTAAATGTGCTGTAAACTACTGTATTTATTTATATCTATCCATCAGTTTATTCTTACATTCATCCATTTATCTATCAGTCAGTCACACATTTTATTTAAAACCTGAGTATATTTACCGATTTCCTTTTATTCTTAATTAGGTTTTACAAAAGTGTGCTGTACCTTCAAAGAAAAGGAAAACCTGTGTGCCAGCAAAGTGTCGCTTTATGGTTCAACTCTGCCGATACTTTGAAACGGAAAATGCCATATATCTTGTTTTAGAACATGCCACTGGTGGAAAACTTTGGGATTATGCTAGCGGGTACTTGAGGCAGGAAGAGGATGTTATATGCAAACAATCGACCAATAGTGTTGATTGCAGCATTGGCAGCAGAACATCCAGCAGGACATCAAAGAGGTCTCGTGGCAATAGCGTACATGAAGATTTTCCAGTAAATGAACCTGCAGTAGATGATGTTTTTGATTCAACTACAGGTGAAAAAAATGAAAAAGATATTCATGGTATAAGTAGACTTGGAAGTGCATGTCAGGCATCTGATGACAATTTAAATTTAGAACTTTCAGTTAACCGGTTACCTGATCTGAATTCACAAACAGAATTAACAGACACCAGCCCAATATCAGATAAGGAAAATGGTAACCAAGACTGTGCAAGCAGTTATGCAGAACTCATTACTGACTACTCAAAAACTATAAAATCATGTGGTGTTGAAAGCACTTCTAAAGAGTCCTCAAAAATTGTAACAGATCTATCTGTCATCACTGACTCTACTCCTTCATCAGACTTTTCTGCCATTGATGAGTCTGAAGATTTTAGTATGAGCACTCTTATTGAGAAAAGCTTCCAATATGAAGATAGCCAGACGCAAAATGATGGAGTATCTTGTGGGACGGAGGATCATCTAGACTCGGTATCATCACTTCCGGCAAATAATGTCACTCCTAAAAGCCAACCTCCTCCAATGAGTTTATTTAGTATTGACAGCTTAGAAAGTCCTTGTGAGTATTCAAGTCCAGAAAATGGGAATGTCACAAATGGCAGAGCATTTAGTTTTTTTTCAGATGCACACAATCCTGGTAGAACTTTAAACAATATTCCAGAGGTTAGTGATGCATCAAGGAAGCTTGACTTTGGTAGTTGTCCAGATGAAGAGGTCTTTAAAGCTACTGAAGTTAATAAATTATTTGATAACAAGTCTGTTATTAACTCCCATTCAGTTAAACCTCCTAGTCTGTATATGAATAACATTGATGATGATCTACCTATCGTAATAGATGCATATATGCACAAACCGCCAGATACAAGAGGATTTGCAGTTGTCATGGACTCAAAATGGAGCAGCAACTCTTCATCTATTGATGGTGATTCCTCAGAACTTTTGCAGTCAGTTGATGTTAAGTATGACGGTGAAGAAAAGGATGAAGATGATTTTCTAGTAATAGATTTAGTTGACAGTGCAATGAATAGAGCTGATGAAAATGACCAAAATAGTACTCAACGTCCAGAACTCCAAACTCAGACTTCAAGAAGCAACCTGAATGTTTCTGGGATGGGTAAAGGATGTTTCCCTGGTATTGAGACTAATGACCAAAGTGAAGCGAATATAATGAGCAGTGAATTAAGCACCAAAGATGTATTAAATTTGCCTCAAAAAACAAATTCAGAGAGTTCAACAGAAGATAAAAATTTCTCAGTCTTTGTCAATCCATTTGAGAAATATGAATCAGGGGAACCTAATGGGGTTAAGAACCAACCACAATTCAAGACATGGGTTAGTATTGAGGATTCTCCAAATCACAAGCCTGCAGTCACAATCCCAAAGGGCATTCCAACTCCAGTTTGTAGTCCAACACGAAAAACCACCACTACCACACCACTGGATCTCAGCAAAAAGGATTCCACTGACACTGTTGTAACTAAAGATTTGAAGAATGAACATCTGAACAGTGACAATTCTGTAGGAGATCAAACTTTAACAAATAGTGGTAGTCAAATTGACAGGAAAACATTGTTTTCTCGGGAACGTACTATGTCTGCTCTGTTTGAGAATATTGACAGGAAAAAGTCAAAAGGTGCTGTTACACTGCCCGAGTCATGTGTCCGTGTATGGATAGCGGAGATAATTCTTGCTTTGGATGATCTACATTCCATGGGTATTATTTGCAGGTTAGTTGCTCATTGTTATCGGTAATACACATTGTTCATCTACCTAATTTATTTTTCAATAAAATGGAAATATTCATGCTTTAAAAATATCTTCAAAGGTGTCCTTACTAAATCATCTATTTCACATTTTTATACACAGTGTAACTATAAAAAAGCAAAAATATACATTGAAGTGTTTATTTTTTATTATTTCTACGACAGAGATTTAAATACTAGCAACATCCTTCTAGGAGAGCGTGGCCACATCCGTTTGTCTTACTTCAGCGTATGGCAGTATATAGAGAATGATTTGAACGAGTCAGCAATGGAGAATTTTTATTCCGCCCCAGAAGTCAATGGAATATACAAGGTGACACCTGCTTGTGATTGGTGGAGTGTTGGCGCTTTGTTATTTGAACTGCTTACAGGAAAGGTATGGTAACATATTCTTAACTTTTACCAATATTACAATATTTTTTAAATATTTGTATTTCCATGGCGTATACATGGCAAGTGAATCTATCATAACATTTTAGAAACTATCTTCAAGTTTCATCATTTTCTCATAAAAGAATGAGATGATGCAAGAGTATATATATATATATATTATTTCTCACAAAGTTAGTCTTTGAATGTCACCAATAGGTACTGTATTTGTTTTTATGATTTCCGAACATGTAGTGCTTAGAGTTATGTTTACCTTTTTGTAGTCTTTGCATAATTGCCATCCAAGTGGAATCAATAGTCATACAGAATTAAAAATACCAGACCATGTATCAAAGGAAGCAAAGTCACTGCTGAACCAGGTAAGAGCACCACATTGCAGTCAGCCTATTAACTATTATTATTAATTTTTAATTTTTTTTAGCTAAGACATGTCCCGATTATACTGTTAATATTGATTAATGCAGATTTGTTTTTGATATGCTGTTTTTCTACAAAAGTTTAAATTCTGTATTTGATTGTAATCTTGTATCTTTGTTTAAATTTAACGTTCCTAGTCGTACTCGTACTAGAAACTTAATCTATGTTCCATTTGGTCGGGTTGACGTAACTAAGAGAGGTTTATTTCAAAGATTAGCTGTTACATATGATAATTTAAGTTGTTCTGATGAAATTGATATTTTTTATGATAGTTTATCCTCGTTTAAGCTTAAAATTAGTAAGGTTTGTTTGATGTTAGTTATTATTTGTCTCTTTATATGTGTATATGTTTTTCTCCAACCTGTTAGTGGAGGTTCTTATCTCTGTTGGTTGAGAATTAAATAAATAAAAAAAAAACAAAAAAAAAAACTAATACCCTATTCAGACAGGCATCACATCAGGAGTAATCAGTTTTGGAGTACCACCAACTACATCACAACCAATCACAATGGAGTGTTAGTCTGAATGGAGTACTAGCCAATCATGTTTCTCATGCATTTACTTTGTAATACACTATTCCGCTATAAGCCCACCTCTTTGCTATTGTTGTTAAGGTCCCTCAAAACCACTTGTCATTTTCAGGCTGTATCCCATTATCACCTTATTGAATCAATTCAATTTTGTTCCTAACTGAATTGTGGTTTGACACAGCGGTTGTGATTTTTCTTCTCAACCTTGAGAGGTCATTGCACAATCCCTCGCTGTGTATTTCGCTTTTGTCCTTAGGCAAGTTGTCTCCACCTAGGAGTACAAGTGAGTACCTTGTAGGCTCAAAATGCACTGATCACAGCTGCATCATTATGAAATTCTCCCCAGGTAGCTGAGTATGTGTCCTATATATGGTTGATCCAGTGACCGGGAGTAATAAGCTGAAGTCCCTACAGGCCTTGTTGGCATGAAGGGCTTTATAATTCTAACATATTATTATTGTGGTTATTTTTGTATTTCATCAGCTTCTGTCCGTAAACGCAAGTGAGAGGCTTGGCTCAGGATTATCTGGAGCAGACGAAATCAAGGTTCATCCTTTCTTCAGGGACATCAACTGGAAAACATTAGCAAGCTGATAAAGGACTCAAAAACTTTTTAAATTGAGTTTTAAAGCTAAATTAGTCTGGGAAAAAAACAGCTGATATACAGTAGATACAATTTAAAACTATTCTGTTTATCATTAAGTAAATAATTTAATTTAAAACTGTATTATTTATTTTAAAAGGATAGCACTCCTAACTCTCTCAGATGGTAATGTGATGCTTTTATAGATAGTATACAACTTTAAAATTGTTTAACACTAAAACAAAACAAATGTAAAGTACAGAAGTACAGTTTTCTTTTACTGTTATCTTATTCCTATATACTTATACTATTTTAAAATATTGTAATGTAAATTAATTGTAATAATTATCAATGTCGGATAATTTTATAAATATAAATAGCATAACTATATAATTCAACAAATTGAAAAGATAATCTGAGGGTTTCTATAATATTTTAACCAGCATGTCTTTGTTGTAATCTTAAAATTCAAGTATATTACTTGATCTTTTAATTTTTGTATATAAATTATTTATGAATATAATTATGTTGCCAGCAAGTACGTAATGGTGCTGCATATAATTAATTGCCTGCTTCATTAAATTAGTGTGAATAATGTTTATCTTATGAATACTTAAAACAAACTATGGCCAATTGCGAGAACACACCTTTGAAAGATAATGAGGACGTAGGCTTGGTTGCATGGTACTGTAGTTTACTGCACGCAGGAAGCCAGAGGCTGAATCTTCTGTTTATCGTTAAGGGGTGTTCTCTCTTAATTGGGAACTGTCAGTACAGTACTCTGTTCATTAGGATACCTTATAAACAAGAGTACCAAAATCACTGAAGATTTGTATGTAATGTTTAAAATGTAAATGATAATATATGGTAGTAATTTATTTTTTTAAATATCTGAGACCACTAAGCCTGACACTAGCAAATCCAGTTGTGTGGAAAAGTTGTTTTTTCCCAGGTCAACTTGCAATAACTTATTCATTTTAGTGATTCAATATTATTTATTGCTATATAAGTTACTATATTTTTATGTCATTTTATCTGTTTTTGTTTGTGGGGATTAGGTCAACAAACATTGCACTGTATTGGTTTGCATATTCAATGTGCATTTATTTTAGTATGGTGCTTTAGTAGACAAATAAGAAATTACATATTTTTTGTTGTTTAATTTTTACCCATGTCCTCCAAAATGATTACTGAAGCACCTGGTATATTTGATTCAATGATAATTTTATCTGAAAAATACTAGTGTAAACAGTACTTAAGTAAAACAACATATATGCACTACCAGTTTTTCTAGCGATAGTAATAGCCCTGAACATGTGTTCTTTATGAAACGTATAATGGTGAAACCTGAACATGTATAAATTTTGAAAACTTCACTAGTTTGTACCCTCCTTCATAGTGGGCTTGAATGTAAGTAGTGGGTCATAAAACCTATGCAGAAATAATGTACCTCTAAATTCAGCTGAATAGACTATGGTTTACTGTTGTCAAAGTAAATCTAAGGACTGTTTTCTATTTACTACAGTATTGGTATTCATCAATTTGAACAATCAAATTCATATTAGTTTCTTCATCATTCTAGCATGGTGTATATGAATTGATGTGCTGGAGCTTTGTGTTTTTAATAAACTTTCAATAAATCAATAAATTACAACAGGTCATTTGTTATTTTTGTCAAGATTATTCTTTATTTTCCATTCTTTTAATTGTTTTACTGTATTTTAATGCGAGAACTGAATTTCCAACTTGGAGCAATAAAGTGTATCTTATCTTATCTTAACACAAGCTCAGGTCCATATCCAGGGGATGTGTGCAATAAGTGTGTACGTACACAACACTGCCCTCCTGCCAATCAGAAATCCACATTTTTAAGACAGTTTAGAATGCACTGAATATAAAATTATTGTTATTTTCTATAATAAAAATTGAAAGGTATTGTTCGGTGAGTATTTGAATTCAACTTGCTGTAGTAATGAAATTACCTAGGCTGCGATCAGACCGGATCTGACATGTTACTGGATTCAAAACAATGATGCACCATATGCTTCCTCTTCCTTGGCTTTGAATTTAGCAGCATTCAAACAATATACATCAATCCAGGTACCTATTTATACTCCTGGATAGACACTTGAATAGATAGTACAGTACTTTGCCTAAAACACTTTAAGCTCAACAGTGTACAGTAACACACACATGCTCAATTCCACTATGCTGTTATATAACATGAATTAATAATGACGAATATATTTCTCATAGTCTTCCTTAAAAATGCATATACTTATAGCAGACTGGAAGAAAAACAAAAATTGGCAAATACACTGCTTTACTTTATCGTTTATTTCCACCATTAACTACACATCCAGGATATGTAAATTGAATTAAAATAAATTATTTCAGATGTGACCTACATAATAATAATTATTATAATTATAATTAGCATAATGTATTTATGCAGGGGAGGCCTACCTAATGATGTATGCCCATATACAGTCATGATGTGATGTCATCATGACCATATTTATTTTTGTCAAATGAAATTTGATAGTCTGAACAAGGTTTTAGTGTTTAGATGCTTTGCTTTCACATCCCAGATTTGGATCAATCTAGCTGATCCAAATCCTGTGAGACCCCAGTAGGCCTACTTATTCTCATGTCTAAAAACTGCTTAAGACCACCATAGATCAAGTCAAGCCCAGCCAGAGCTAGTCAGCCCCAGTCAGATTAAAACAAAAAAAATTATTAGGGCTAATGAAATGAAATGTGTGTTTGAGTTGAGTTTGATGAGTATAGTAACAATTGTATTTTATCAACTTTACATTTAAAAGTAAATAGAATTAAGGGGACACCTTGGGGACCAAAACAATGTCCCCTTAATAGGGGTGTCCCCAAAATAGGGGTACCCCTATTCAGGGGACACTAACCAAAAACGCGAAATTGTCACCTTAATAAGGGTTTTTGGTATGTTTTCATACAGCAATGACATACATTCTATATAATTTTATTTTTAATGACATATGAATCAGCTAAGTAGAATTAGAACTATAATTTATAGCAACAATTTGCAATGCAAATACAATTCATTTATAAAATGAAATCAGCACAAATGTTAAATTAAAACAACAATAGTTTTATATGTTGTAGAAGCGGTTTGGTGCAGCGGGAATGGTATGGTTTCCCAACCTCAAGGAAGGGGTTTCAGTTCCATCGCTGTACTGTACATTTTGCTTTTGTCCTTGAGCAAGGCACTTTATCTGCATTGCTTCTCCTGTAATCACCGATCACCTGTCTTGTCGGGCTCGTATGTAGACCGTACCCAGGAGTATAAATGGGTACCTGATGGGCTAGCCTACTCCTGCGATGTTTACCAGCAGTAACACTTAATACATGAGGACCCAATGACCAGGGAAAAAGAAGCACTTTGTATCGACTACAACAAAGAAAAATCGCTGTATAAATGATATAAATATAAAATAATAATAATAAAATGTTCCCAATATTATTTCACGATACAGTGTTAATGACCAAATATTCCTTTTTTTATTTAAAAATATTGAATAAAGTAACAACTTATAGAATCCTATATAAAAGTACACGAAAAACAAAGGAAATGAAATCTCCATGGTTAAGGGTTAAAATTGACAAGATTGGTTTTGAGTAACACATTCAGTAGGCCTATACCGACATTTACTCTAAGGATTCAGGGGAGAAAATTCTGGTTTATTGCTCAAAAGGTTATTTGACCATTTGGCACACTCAGAAAGTGTCCCTGTCCCCTTAATAGGGATGTCCCCTTAATAGGGTGTCCCCTCAATAGGCGTGTCCCCTTAATAGGGGTTGGTCGTATTGTTAAAAGATATATTGCCCCTTGTTTCACAGAAAAGTGTCCCCTTAATAGGGGTGTCCCAAAAGATGGGAGTTCCATTTCCGGCCATCCAGATGTCCCCACTATATTTTTTAAAAAAATCTCATTAGGGAGGGAGACACTCCCCTCCAAAACCCTCTCCTGGCTCAGTCAGAAGGCCCTCGGATGCTAAAGTTATCCTTCTCACTCAGCACCCCTCCCCGCCTCTGTCGGACAGCTTAATCCCCCTAGAAAATATATCCTACAGCCGCCACAACCTTGGTGAATGACCACCTGTTGTATAAGAAAGATTTTATTATTATTATTATTATTTTTATTATATTATTACTATTATTATTATTACATAATGGATGATGAATGGACCACAAATTTATGATCAAATCTACAACCCTTGTCAGTAATGGATATACTTAAATTTCATTTGTTGCTATTCGTTTTTAATTGTTTATCTAATCACTGAGCAAAAAAATATTTCAGCATGATTCAATCCAATTCTAGTACTGTAATGAGATAATCACTTCAATGCTATACAAACAGATTACTGTATCAACAACTCTTACTATGTACGATGAGATACAATAATAATATGACAGAATGCTATAGTATTTCTGTAGCATAAGCAAAAACCATAAATACTAGTGTTGTTTGTTCAAAGCCACCATCTTTTAAAGTATAACAGGATGGTGTTGCTCCCAGGGAGCTAAGTATGTGTTCCACAGGTGTTCGGTCCAATGATAGGGAATAATAATATAAAGCCCATCCAAAGACCTTCAATATGCACTGTGTATGGGCGAATCGAGTGGCCAAGCGTTAAGGCATACTATAGCCTAAAAATCAATGCTGGTCCGAGCTGCTCCTCATCCAGGTTTGGTTGGTAGAACCAAGTGTTCTCGGATAAAGACTTAAACTGAAGGTACAGTGTTACATCTGGCTCACATGCACTTTAAAGAACAGAAGAGTAGAGGGGGAATACTCCAATGCTATAAGCACCTCTTTAAGGTGGTTAAGTAAATCACAAACCTTGGAAATACAAAATTCCGCACAAATTGACGCTGCAAGTTATGGATTATTCTCCTACCTTTACCCTTGTCATATCATTATTGTTATAACATATATTTGTCATATACAGATATACAGAAACTATATCATTGTATATCAATCTGTAAATGTTATCATTTCTTGATTATTAAACGATTTTATTTGCTCTAAACTGAATTTTAAAAAACCATACCTCCAATATGGAGGGCTCTTTACAGACAGAACAACTGTGCTGGATACTTTACCATGGTAACACAGCTCTAATGTTTTTGTATTTCTATTATCACTTCCACATTTAAACAAAAAAAGTTGTCTCAATTGGATGCTTAAAACTAATATAGAAAATTAAAACAAGAAATACCTTAAAAAAAACTTAATCATACTAACCAAAATGATTAACTAAACAAAAAATCTTTACACCCTGTATAGATACACAATAGAAAATAATAATTTAAGTGTACAATTATAATTTCCGTTATAAGCTGAATGTCTTCTCCATCACCATCTTCACTTCTTCTTGATGTAGTTGGCCGACGCCTACTGCGGGTGTGCCCAGAGGCCCTCGTCCGGCATAAGAAAGCTATAGTTTAAACAAATTACTATCATTACTAACATTATAATGAAGCTGGTCATCTTTATCACCTTCATTAGCTTTGCAATTATTACTAATGTATATTATTATCATCAATGAATCTATACTCACATTGCAGCCAACAAGATTAGTGAATCGAGGTGCAACAAAGAACCATGCTCCCATGTTCTGATGTTCCTCCTGACTCCAAATAATCTCTGCAACAAAGTCAAGTGCAAAATTACAACAAATTGTTTGACATCATTATAGATAATGAAGCAAGGTCACATTGTGACCTAAATCATAAAATTTAAGGAAAATTGAGAAATCTTACTTTGGGCATTTGGGAATTTTGAGAGGTTCTTTTGGATTTCTTCGGCAGGAAATGGACATAGCTGCTCAACTCGGACAATAGCTATATTGTCTGCTTGTAATCGTTGCCTCTCATTCACTAAAGCATAGTAATGCTTGCCACAACAGACTATAACCTTATCAACTCTGAAAATGGAACATCAGATTGATTAGACAGTGAGAGCACATGTACTGTATGCTTGCATAAAGATATTTAGGTCCATCGTTCAAGTCTATAGTTGCTCTAATTTTGTTCCAGGACTGTAATGCAAGTTAATATAGTGCATCATATTTTGGAAGATTAAGCAATTGATTTTGAAAATTTCTGCACATTGATCAGAAGGAGTTGCAAATTGTATCCTGGCATACATTACCAACACACTACAATACCATAAGTAAATTAATGTTTGTTCTTACTTATTTGAATCAGCAAGCTGGTCCCCAATTACAGGCTGGAAACTTGTTCCAGGTGCTAGTTCACTTAAACTAGAGGTGGCTGCAGGGAGTCTAAGCAAAACCTTTGGAGATGCCATGATAAGCGGCTTTCTGAAGTTGCGTACCATCTAAAAATGAAGCACCCAAAAGGACAAATAAAAGATAACATTCTGTATTTATCTACAATTGATATCATTGAGTAACACAGTTGACACTGTTGAAAGCAAATGTAAAATAGTGTCTATTTAAATCAACCTACACTATAACGTCTTACAAACATATGAAACATTCTGTATCTACCTGTACCTCAAATGAAATGTCTCACAATTTAAAGAGGAACATGATTTATATATGTATTCATGATATTCAGTACCTGTCGTCGGAGAAGATGGAAATATTGAGCAGGTGTGGTTGGATGTACAAGTTGAATGTTGACATTATCTCCATCTATTCCATTCTCTTTACTGTCACAGGCCTGCAAGAACCTCTCCATGTGGCAGGAGGAGTGTTCAGGACCAGCTCCATCAAATCCATGTGGAAGCATCATGACTAGACCGCTCTGCAACAGCCATTTCACTATAATATAAAAGTTGATGAATGGTTGACATAGGAGAGATAGACGAGTGTTTGCAGTGCCTATCTTCTTGCGGTCTATTAAAAACTTAACCAGGCATAGCAAATACATAATTTACTCGAAAGATCTATACATGAATTCTACTCTTGATCTTTGCCAACAGGTCCAGGACATTATTTAAAATGTCTTACCTTCTCCTGCTGTTACATATGTATCAATGATGATTTGAGCACCATTGTAAAAATCCCCAAACTGTGCTTCCCATATGATTAATGACTTGGGATTCTCAATACTCATGCCATACTCAAATGCAAGGACGGCTTCTTCAGACAGAGGACTATTAGCAACCTGAATATGGGGGAGAAAATAGATTGTTGTCACAAAAACATGAACTGGAAGGCGTGTATCAAACCTATAATTATGTATGAGTATGACCATTTTTGTTTTAGAAGAGAGAGATAACAATTATAAATGCAGAAATAAATTTCAATAAGGGCACAAGAGGCAGCCAGTAAACTTTGACAGTGTAACATACAGTAAATGAAGATCAACATATGCTTGAGAAGGGCACACAATTTATAAATGATAGAAAAGGGCACGGATTAGAATGCAAATAAACCATTATTCTACTGTATGATAGGCATGGAGTCAATAAAGGCACAAACAGTTATAAACTTTGACATGGAGACAAAAAAATAGAATAAACATTCAAAATAGTTCAAACTGAAGACAAGTATAGGTGAGAAAGACATCACAAATTCTAATGAAAATATTATAGAAATTATAATTTAAGTACACTATATTCTCAGAAAACTATAATTCATAACATAGAATATAAAGAAACAAAAGAAGTTGGATGATAGATGATTCTAACCTCTAAAAAATGTCTTTGATCACCGACAATATTGTTGAAGGGTATGTACATACTGTTGCTATCCTGCTCAATCAACATAGCATGACGATGACTGAAAGTACCGCGGCCTATATCTTGACCACTGATACGAACGTTAAAACCCTGGGCCAGTAGTGAACCAATAGCCATAGCTTCGGCAGTAGCCCAATCCAGGCTGGTTCCTTCTTCTAGCTTTTTCATTCGGGCACCAATATGACTTTTCAATAGGGTTGAATGAACTTTCTGTAAAGTATGTCAAAAAAGGTAAACTATCTTAAAATTATTATAAAATGATTGATTTCTTTTCATGAAGTAGTAAATATACCAGTATACTGGCTGACACGTAGTATTTCAAGCAAATAAAAAAACAATGTTAATATGAAGAGAAATATTCTATTCTACCTTTTTTAATAACATTGTATAAAATATTGTATAGTACAAAAATTACTTCAATCACAACATACAAAATTTTCTGGAACTTCAACTGATTTTGCTGCTATAAATCGCAAAAGTTCAGGGTCAACACCTGGAGGAATAAATACAATATGAAATTACAATTACATCTTAATTTATTTTTATTTACGTATTTAGGCACAAGGACAAAGGATTGGCAACAGCCAACATATGAATGTCGTAATCATAATTAGCAATCCTTTTCAGAAGACAAACCTACAGACAAGGCGCTCCACATAAACTCCACAAGAGTTGATTTGACAAGATTAATAATGCTGTTCGTCTACTGACATACTGTAGCCAAGTAATTAAAAAAATTTCATAAAATGCTCTTTATCACCAATAAAGAATCTAAAATATTAGAAAATAGATGCAATTAAGATGCTTTATTGAGTGTGGTGACACATTTTGTGATAATATTATATTTATTATTATTATGCAAATATCCACCTGTATCCCAGGTGGTAATGTGTGAAGGTGCATCTACAAATCCTTTCCAGTGGGCTTGTAGGTGGAACTGCTTTGGTTGGTATGTTTCTGCTTCTTTCAGCGAATTGTTAAGTGTATCTTGGTACAAGGACACTTCTTTGGCAATATCTTTTTTATCTATTATGCCTTCTTCCTGGAAAGAACAATACGGCAAAAGATTTCTTAAGCAATGCAAAACAATTACCTATTTCTGTGATAAGTTAAAATCATGTGATAAGTACAAATGACTGGTTTTGTGACTTATGACCCTTGACCTTCAAAATAGTCATAGGAATTTGAAACTACAGGAGGGCAATATCATAATTTCAAATGAGAATGTCATTTAAGGTGCCTTTAAGCAACACTTACAGATAATTTGTCTACATAGGCATCTGGCACACTTGGCTTTGTGTCAATAACGGAATACATACTGGGGTTGGTAAAAGACGGATTGTCCAATTCATTGTGGCCCCAGCGCCGGAAACACATCAAATCAACAAATACATCTTTACCAAATGTTTGTCTATAACTCATGGCAAGTCTGACTGCTTTGACAACTTCCTGTAAATAAAAAAAGTTGAAATGGAAATCATGAGGAAATATAAACATATTCATGCTTTACATCAAGCCAAAAAACGTTTTGTGTTTTAACCGACCAAAAATCTAGGGTTGGCTGAACCAACTGCTTCAGCCAAAATTTTTATAACCAGGCCTAATCCTCATCAGAAGTCTGGAGATGGAAATTTATCATTACTGCTTTTCAACATCCTTACCTCTGGATGATCACCGTTGACATGCAAGACTGGAAAATCATTAATTTTGGCAATATCAGTACTGTATAGAGAAGACCTCCCCTGTTCAGCAGGTGTGGTGAAGCCCAACTGGTTATTAACAACAAGATGAATGGACCCTCCTACTCTGTAATGGGGGAGATTCCATAGTCCTAATGATTCTTGGATAACACCCTGAAATTACAAAATACAAATTAAAAATTAGAATAATAGTGTCTATGTCATAATATAAGGACAATATTATCCACTTTTTGTGAGCTGTTCGCAGTGCCCTTTTCCACTTACTAAGGTCAGCCATTTCTGCATAAAGAAAATGTAAAAAGTAAAAATTACATATACTATGTAAACAAACTTAAAATAACAGACAGTGCAACAACTTTCTGAAAGATCTGCTGAGCGTAGAGCTGATTATGACGGTTTGTATAAAGCCTGCTAATATAAACTAGTTAGAAATTGTCCAAATCTCTGAAGATGAGCAACTTGTGAAATATTACCTGTGCAGAAAGTGCAGCATCACCATGGACCTGGACACATAATACTTTCTCCCCAACAACAGATTCTTCACCTGATGAATAATCTCCCTCCTGTAAAGTCTGCTGCCTCCCCCTTACTTTTCCAATAACAACAGGCACATTAGCCTAAAAAGATGCATTTAAAATATACTGAACATTTTACACATTATAAATGACTTGATTCTTATTCTCAAGTGAACTCAGCAATATATTCATACAAAATGGCTAACGCTATCTTCCGGTGTACTAATTAATAGTACTATACTATAACATTGTAAAATACAATTTGCTCAGTGTTTATGCCTTTGGTATTAAGCTTAGGAAGGACCACACTGACTGCTCTAAAAAAATAATGCAGGGAGAAGATTTAGTCTCTGGTTGGATTGGTACGTCTCCGTCAAGGCTGACAGTTCGTGACTTCTGTGATGACACACCACTTATGTCGGTTCACAGCTATTTCATACACCTTTGGTAGAGGTTGTCCAACTAGAGATGTGATCCAGTCGATCCATCTGGACCTAGGACATCCACGTCTTCTTGATCCCTCAATCTTGCCCTGCATGAGAACCTTTTCAAGGAAGGTATCTTGTCGTCTGGCTATGTGCCCAAAGTAGCGGAGAGCTTGACAATTGAGTGTATTGATTAATCATTTTTTAGGACCAATTTCTTTTAAAACACTGGCGTTTGTTCGTTTTGCTGTCCAAGGTAAACTGGTTGTTTATTGTAGATACTTTATGTACACAATATGTAGAGCGCTGTGTCTACATATTTGTGCAACAGTAATTATTAATGTATATGTATGGCTATAGCAACTGCTATTTAATATTTTTTTTAAATTGTGTCATACCTCTAGATGAGATGGATTTGGTATTAAGCTGACATGAACTTGTTTTCCTTCGTATTCTATATCTACTGATTGGTCTGTAAGTAAGCAAAGAAAAGCATTGAAATAATTGCTGTAATTCAATTAAATTATTGTATAGGAAACAGTGACCTTATCTAATTACTAATATTTATCTATAGTTAAATTTTAAATAATATTTCAGATTTTATAGGCTTATACTTTAATAATAGTATTGTAAACTTGGATTATTTGCAATCTTGGACTTTTTTCTAAGTGTTTTTAAACTTGAATAAATAAATAAAAAAACTACATTTTAAATTTCTATTACAATCCTAGCCTGAAGTGATACAGAGGTTTGAATGATGTAGGTATCATGGCCCTGAATGGGATCAGGAATTAGGCACCCATTCATTGGCAGGCCAGAGCTTAGGGGAGGGGACAGTGAGTAGTGTGTTTCAGAGCGTGACAACAACTACAAAGTTTCTTAAACTCACTAAATCATCAAACAATTCAAAATTGCACATAGGTATTCATAGTGTACCAAGTGTGTACATATACTCACATAAATGTGACAAGACATCACCAGTACATGGAGCTGTATCGGGGTACTCCATCTTTCCCTGCATCTTCCGAATCATGAGTTCTGTTGGGAAGTCTAGTAGACCTGTTAACAGGTTGAGGCGCCCTCTATGTGCAATTGCAATCATCACTTGCTCAATATTCGCTGGAGGGATAGAAAAATTTGCACTAGCTGATCAACGAATGAGTATAGTTAAAAAACACAAAATAATAAGGATGAAAAGGATGTTGGTTGTGGTGATAATGATGATGATGATGATGATGATGATGGTGGTGATGATGATGTTGATGGTGATGATGATGATGATGATGATTATGGTGGTGGTGATGATGATGTTGGTGATGATGGTTTTGGTGATGATAATGTTGGTGATAATGATAATGTAAGTGATGATGATTTTTAAAATGATGATAATGATGTCAAAATTAATAATGTAATAATGAGTATGATTAATATGGTACTGGTTACAGTGATAAATTATAAAAAGCCAATTCATAGTTAGAATTGCATAAGCTTGTATCCAAGGTCAATCGAGGTCAATTGACATAAACCTATGCTGTGTGTATGGTATTAATGTCGATTGACCTCAATACGAACATGGTTGAAATACAATTGTCCAACGCTGAATGCGTCCCGCACATCAATCCCGGGATGTTTGGCAACCCGGGTTGTATTTTTTGACGTTTACACCACCCAGAACTCGGGAGTTTTTAGCCCGGCTATTGCAAAATCCCGGGTTGTGTCTGGAGTTTTGATTGCAGTGTAAAAGGGGTATTAGATAGATATCAATATTAATTGATTGCAGTGTAAAAGGGGTATTAGATAGATATCAATATTAATTGTTATCAATATATCAAGCTACTATGTACTTACATTGTGCTGCTAAACTAAAGAGTTCATTAAAGAAGGCCATCATACTCTCCGCCCCCTCTCCGCTATATCTCTTAACAGTAGTGAACTTATTTGCCACAAAATTATCGAAAGCCTTGAAAAAATCAACAGGGAATCAACAAGTGGTGTGTAGGGTAGGGTATAAAAGCATCATTAAAACCAGGATAAAAATCCTGATGGAGTATCCCACTCATGGTGTCAGTGTGCATCAATAAGTATACAAGTTACAGGACACACACACATTATGTTTTCAACTTATTTCTTCAAAAATATAAGTATTTTTTTTTTTTTTTTACCCAACTGAAGAATACATACAGTTTGTTTGTTTCTATATATCAAATTATAAAATAAGCGGTTTCTAATTTATAATGATGCAAATAATACCTGTGATTTCACAAGAAGTGATGCTATTTTCTTCTTCTCATCATCACTCAACTGCCAAGTTCTGCTTTCTTCAAATTTCTGAGCAAACCATTCTCTTTCTTTTAAAGTCTGATAGAAAATTTATTGAGATGTCATTAAAGATAAATTATAACTAATAATAAATTATTATTAACAACAATAAAAATAATAATAATCAATACTCAGAAAGGTCAGTGAATCAGGTATATAATAATGGAATGCAAGGTATTGTATAGGACAACTTGGGAAATGAGCACCACCTACTCATTGTTTTCTTTTCAGGAACCACGCTGGGGGTGCCTACGTTAATGATACCAATATCCAAGCCTATATTTTCTAGTTGCTCAGCTAGGACATATGAATTACTTTACTTCGTATTCTGTATATCTCATCATGTGTGAGCATAAAATTGGTCTGAGGGTGCTTCCAGAAACCTCCAAGCTTTGCTTTTACACCACTTTATTCCCAGTTTTAATATTACCTTTACAGATGATTGCTGTCGGGCCGTAAAAACAAGGTTTTTTTCTAGCCAATGCTGTTTGCCGGGCTGCACATATATCGCTTTTATTTCATTTTCGTGGGCTGCAAAAAAATCATTGTCAGGCTACACTTTGCCTACCTGTGATCTACATGATTCAGCTTTGAAAAGATATATACATTATAGTATTGCTATTATACTCAGTATGGTAGATTTGTTAGTATAAAGAATAAAATACTATACTCTACCTCCAGATGAGCAAACTCTGCTGATGTTGTTGAACAGTAAATAGACTCCAATGCAGCAACAGCACCCTCTAGAGACACACTACTGCAATCAGCTGTGTTCAAAATACCTGAGTAGAATTGAGTAATAGTGAAAGTTAAATTTCTTTATATTCTATCCATGATCAACAAGATGAAGAACAAATGTAAGGGAAGACAAAGGTAAAGCTAGGCAATTAACCCGTAACTTGCACTGTCATCGAGATGAATTGAGTATAGGCCTGCTCAGTGAGTATCATAGCTAACATTGAGAAGGGCTCAGTAGTCACATCCTTTCACATAGATTGGCAGCAGTGAGCAAGAGCACTGTGTCTCTGGTTTTATTAATCTTTATCCAAGAAGACTTGGTTCTATCCATGAGCATGAAGGGTGTAGAACTAGTGCTGATAATAATGCCAGGTTTGCTGCCTTCTACATCCCCCTCCCCACCACACCTGGCTTTACCACTTGAGTCAACCCTAAAACAATCTATTGACAACAGACTTACCACTCAAGTCATATTTGTTAGATCTCTCCAGGCCATACAATTCAGGATTCAATTCTGGTGTTGGTCTGAAAGAAATCAAAAATAAAATGCATTAACTGTACGCATAATATTAATTTTAATGAACTACAGTTACAGTAAGTCAAGCAAAAATTGTATGTCCACAACAATAAACTTTATTTTAAATAAATAATAATGTAAATGAAACAATATTTAAAAAAGGCACCAGTACTAGGTAGATGCTACGATAAAATGTAACCATCATGTAGGGAGATATTACCTGAGTACCTGCAAGCCAAGTGGATCAATCGTAGCCTTTTTATGTCCATGTCTTCGATATGCTTCTACAAGTTGTACTAAGGACGAATTTTGAATCCTTTTTAAAAGAGTTACTTCATTAACTGTTCGAAAAGGAAAAAGTTCAAAAATAAATAATAAATAAAAAAGGAAACCTTCTATTTCCACAAATTTTTGATTAATTTGCATGAGTTAGAAAATCACAACATAGCTTTGTAAAATCATTAACATTAGGATACGCATTTTTCACAAGCAGCAAGGTTAGTTTATTCCCCATGACTTATACCATGTATTTTCTTAGAACTGTTGTTATATTTTTGGTAGCAACATTCCATTATATGTTGCTTATTAATATTATTTTTACTATGGCAAATTCAGATCAAAATAATTCTACCAAGTCCAACACCTGATAAACAATTGGCCTTGTTTTCCTTGTTTCTGGTATCCCTACCAGTGGCAGATTTCTGGATTTGCCACTGCCCACTAAACTATAGATACCTTGGTTGTTTTCCAGCATCTGTTGTGCAGAAGGGTTATAACCATAGATTCCTGTTTTAGCATGATAAGATGCTCTTGGTAACCTTGGTAACCTCTTTATCAGTGAGGACCTCAACCATGTGCTAGTGGACAACATAACGTAATTTCTGAAAGAATGAACATAAAATCATGACAAAGTATATAATCAGTACAACTGCCAAGTTAAAATGATTTGGTCCCCCACAACAGAACATTCTTTATAAGATAGATTAAAAGACCAGTTGGTAATGAATGACTGATTATATTAAGACCCTAATATACTTCACATTGCAATTTAAAATACATTTTCGGTCATTTTTAATCTTTGCATGTTTTTGTTACTGTAACCTTTTGGTCAAATAAATGAATAAATAAATCAAAGGAAAATAAATATTGTTTTCTATTGTAATGGTAAATTATTGATAAGCATCGATTGATTTGGTCTACCATACTGTAAAGTATTTTAATTGCACGGTGATATACATCAAAAACTAGCTAAAATTTGTATGTAAAATCACTAAGAAATTATTGAACTTTTTTTGAAGTACTGTAGGATGTGTTTAGTCGGTCAGATGCATTCAGTGCATTTCACTTTGCTTTGTAATGTCAAACTTCATGTCCAATTTTTGGTGAGGAATTCCTTTTCTTCATCTCTGCTTCGTCATGCCCATCACACTACGTACACAACCTTGGGTCTTATGATGTGGGTGGGGCAGGGCTAGGTAGGCCTACTACTAGGACTGCCTATTCCTACGCTCCTTCTCCTACTGCCAACATCATGGGCTACCACCACCTACCTAGGGCCTAGGCCTGTTATTGTGGTCCATTACTAATCATTGCATTACAAATCCTATAGGCCTATGCCTAGGGCCTAGGTTAGGTATAGCATCGTAATATTGTACTATAGGCCTATGTTCTGTACTTACAAAATACTGTACAGCAAATGACTTTTTATCACCACCGGCGTGTAGCGACCACCATCTATAAATTTTGTAAATAATAAAGTAACCTTTGACACAAAGTTGACACAAATTACCATAAATTGACAACGCGAACATTTCATGCACGCGAAAAAAAAAATTGAAGAGCGACGCCTACGTCAATGTTTTGCCATTTCGACGGAAGTGCTGCAGTGCAAGTTCTGTATATTGGAGTCGGCATCTAGCAAAATGTCATCTGAAAAGTTTGAAAACTTAGAAGAAGATTATAGGATATTATATGACGATTTAAAAAGAAAAATAGACACTCGTATTCCACGATGTTCAGGAGGTAGGCCCTAATCTAGTCAGGGCTCGAATTCTTTCTAGGCCCTGCTAGGCCTAGTCTACTACTTATAATTTATAAGGCTAGGAGAATAGGCTATCCACGCCGTAGGACCGTTTCAGCCGCGGACTATGACTATGATGTTACTATAGACTAGGCCTAACCTGTTTTTATTCGAATAATTACCATTCGTATTGGTTAACTCAGGTTAACTGTAGGCCTAGGCTAGGCCGTGTATATGGATGTGCCACATTGTCTTCCTTTTTCGTGCAAGAGTAATGTATGAATAATTAAATTACTTTGAAAAGTAAAAAGTAGGCCTACTGTACTACTAGGCGTGAATCACCCTAGGCGTTTGGGGCAAGGTTGTTTATACGTAATAAGGAAAGTAGTAGTAGTAGTTGCTAACATTATGATTTCGAAAAAACACCTAATAAATCACATGTTTTACATATTATTTTTGTTTTCCACTGTTCTGTAGAAGAAAAGAAACAATTGACACGAGAGGTGGAACGAGGCTTGGAGGAAGCTACCGAATTGGTAAGATCAGTAAAGTTGAATTAAAAAAGATTTTTAGTTATACTGTACACATTATATTGTATCAAAACAATAAAGAAAGTCAACTGGTATTTACATAATGATTGTTATTTAACAATTGAAATAAAAAAAATACATGTTAGCTGATTTCTTAAGTTTGTTTGGATGTACTGTACATACATATAGTAGTAAGTTGAATAAAGTTTAAGTTTGAACATTTTAATAATGACTGCATTTTTGCAAAGATAGCATCAACATATTTTTTTTATAATCTAGCTTCAGGATATGGAGGCAGAGGCCCGGCCTGCACCAGGTACCTACCGCACACAGATGAATCAGAAAGTCAGGAATTTTAGGAGAGATCTAGACAAACTTAAAAGAGATCTTGTAAGTGATTATTGTTTTTGTAGGATTCATAATTAATTTCCTTTTAGCTGTGAAGCATACTCATATTATTATTGATTTTTAATTTCTTAATTTTTATAATAAAAAATAATAATATATATTTTTCTAAATAACTATTTAATGCAATAAACTAATTTTTTTTCTTTATTAATTTTTTTTTCATTGTACATAAATTATTCATTGATTGTTCTTTTAATCTTCTTCTGTATAGTTTTTGTGATTGTTGCAATTCTATGAACTGTAATTTTTTTATGAGAGCCCATGATCATCAGCAACTGCTGTTTTGGGTCACCCTCAGTAAGTACTGTGAAGTTGAAAAAAAAATCCTTGTGTCTCTGGGGTTTTTTTTAAACAGGGGATGTACCAAACATTCAGAATCATTTCTGTGTTCGAATGGAAAGTGAATTAAAATTATTAATTTATTTTGTTTTTCAGAAACGTGTCAGTGGGTCAGGGGGTAGAGATGACCTTTTCACTGGAGGCACCTATCAGCGTGACAACCTAGATAATGAAATTTCTGTAAATATTTTTAATTTTTAACCACATTCATCCAAATTTCATTTTCAGTATAAAAAGCAGTTTCTGTACCATTCAACAAACAGGTGTTGTCAATTTAAATTTGTTGCTATACAATCTATAGGTTTTGTAAGCACACTGTAAACATCAAAGTTTGGGTACAGTCCTTGGTGTCAAATTGTAAATTCACTTTGGCCCATTTTTATGCCCCCCCCCCCCCTATCAACTACTTTCATCTACTGTAATAATATTATTATATATCCAACCATAAAAAGTTGAAGTATGGCAACACTAAACATTACTGAGCTGTAGTCTGATGGTCTTGGTCACAAATCCTGATGGGGACAGCACCTTTTTCCAGTGGGTTTTATTCAGAAACATCATTTACAGTATATGAATTGAAAAACTTATGTTTTTGTTTGAAATTTTTAAGTCAATGCATGCAAATCAAAGAACACGTCTTATACAAGGAACAGAGAGTTTGAACAGAGCATCTGGCAGCTTAGACAGAACTCATCGGATTGCTGCTGAAACTGACGAAATTGGTGTTGGAATAATTGAAGAACTAGGTGGCCAGAAGGACCAACTTTTAAGTACTAGAGATAAGGTAAGTTTGATTCTACTCACTCAACTTGCACTAAGTATATCTCATCCATTTTGTAGAATTTTACAACAAACAAGTCTGAGCAATAAATCTGAAGTAGGAAAGGAAAATTTAGTTAAAATGAATTTGTCTTAGTTGAGTGAACTAAAAAGTTCTGGCTGGGTCCCTGGGAATCATTGACAGCCGCAGTGCGGCAGTACACAGATGTGTATAAGAGACAGCATTATATTGTATCAAAACAATAAAGAAAGTCAACTGGTATTTACATAATGATTATTATTTAATAATTGAAATTAAAAAAATACATGTTAGCTGATTTCTTAAGTTTGTTTGGATGTACTGTACATACATATAGTAGTAAGTTGAATAAAGTTTAAGTTTGAACATTTTAATAATGACTGCATTTTTGCAAAGATAGCATCAGCATATTTTTTTTATAATCTAGCTTCAGGATATGGAGGCAGAGGCCCGGCCTGCACCAGGTACCTACCGCACACAGATGAATCAGAAAGTCAGGAATTTTAGGAGAGATCTAGACAAATTTTCTTTTAGGGTGATGACTAACAAAATGATCTTAATGTCAATAATTCTGGCTGAGCTTGCCATTCTTGGGGTTGTAATCTGGTGGAAATTCTTCAGTAAAAAATAGCAGCGCACATGATAAAATTTTGACGGTAATGATGAAACTTATAGCAACACATATATATATATATATATTACTGTACCAGTTTACATCAACTTTGAATCATAACATTCCAATGCAATATTGATTGTTTAAATGTTAAGAAAAAATGTTTATAAAATTTAGATGCACTGTACAGTGTGAGTTCAATCAAGAAAGAAAGTGAAACTGCTGCTGATCAGAGCTTCCAGTCAGGGTCTTTATTCTTGTCTGTTGAACTGAAGAAACCATGCTTGTCCAACAAGAAAACAGTACATTGTTGCTCAATATTAGGCGAGACATCTTTTATACCTACTGTACCTTATAAATGGTCAGAGGAGGGCGGAAAAAAAATAATAAAATTTTGGTTATTCATTTAGCAAAAACATCCAGATGGAGAACATAAAAATAAAATTTTATTGGTGAATGTAAATAGTGTAGTAATGGGATGGTTAAATGTTGTAAATTTATATAATTAGGAAGAAATATACATATCTTAATTTTGGAGATATCAAGGTAACAGCTGGTAATAAAAATAAAGAATAAATTTTTATTTTTTTCTGAAATTGCTATCTTTTTTTATTTTTATTTGAAATCATTATTATTGGCAGGCGCTGGGTTCGCTAAACAAGGTATAAAAAAAATGCTCGCCTTATGAATTGGAAATTGTCTGAATATCAACTTTTTAAGTTGTCACATTTATTTAAAATCATCCTTATTTTTGTAACATAATTATGTTCTCAAGCTAATTCATAAAGTTGATGAAATGTACTGTTAATACAGTACAGTAAGATAGTGCAATTCAGTTGGTTTTTACACTGAGAATTGTAAGTATATTATCTACTTGGAAATAATAATAAATAATATACACACGAAGGCGCTAATGGTAATTTGATTGTCTCAAATAAGGTTTTTGAGTATATTATGCCAAAAAATGTTTGTGTTGCCCAAGTAACCAAAACAAACCAAAATTTTAAAAGTCATCACCCCCACCCCACTCACCCACCCACCCAAAAAACGCATTAGAAAAGGACGTTTTTCAAGCTGAATGTAATAAATTTAATACCTTTTACAATATGTTAGTCCTTTGGTTTCAATTTTACCCAGAAACATATTAGTTGAAGGATGCTTGGCAACAACTTTAGAATTGTGCCCATGCCTATACGGTGGTAAAAACAAGTTCCTCACTGACCGACACTGATCTCCAAATATGATAGTGCTTAAGTGGGCAACACAGTACTATTTCTTTGGCCTTATTCAGAAATATGTTCCTTATTCAATTAAGAGTGCAAACATTTTAATCAGATATTTGTGGTCAATAAGCATCATGTAGAACTAATGTAAATAAAATGTATACTGTATATTCAAGCGAAAAAATGGTGGTGTATGTTATTTTTGTGTGTTTGTCAACGCAAAATTTAAATAAACAAATACTGTATAGAAGAATAACAATTTCATAGTCTATACATTAACAGATCAAATTGGTGGACAGAGCATACCTTTATATCTGTCTGTAAAATCACCTTATTCAAATGTGTTACATATGTGCCATTTATTAACGATCATTTTTTATTCAATAACAAAAGAAAGTAACATGAAACCCAGGTCATGGCTTTATCAAGCGCATGCAGAGTACATGTATCACAAAGGAACAACAGATGTTAAAGTTGTTGAATAATAAACATGATTTTTCTAAATAGTCATACAGTATTTAAACTTAACTCGATTACGATTACAAGTATTAATAATTCGCCCACTGAGGCGAGCGTCCAAATGGCATAGCTACTGGTTAATGCAAGCTCGCCAATTTGCTTTTTATACGTTTTACTATTTAGTTTAGAAATATTATTTAATATCGATTCATTATCTTTGGAGAACACTTCTCTAGATCCAACCTCCAAATAAAAGTCAATATACATAAACTGTTTAATGTCGTTGACTATGTCTTCATAATTGCTACATTTATAATTATGTGCCTTACTTATATTTGGTTCTAGTGCCACCATCAATTCAATGATTTCAGTTGCCTAGTTATATTGGTCAATTAGAAATATGTCGGGCTTAAGGCTTGACATAATACGTAATATATTAGCGGGAATTGATCCGCCAGATATAGAAAGGCCAGGTACTAGTCTGCACAGACTTCACTGACTTTATCAGGTCCTTTGTAGTTTTAACAATAAATCTTAATATCGAAACGTGTCGCCATGTATTAATGAACAGACCTTAATACTACATTTTGTTTTTCTCTAGTTCAGTAAAAATGGAACTTGAGATGAGAATTCTTTTCAACTTCTATTGGCTAAGAAAACAGCCAGTCAGACGTGTCACCATAACAGATTATTGTCAGAGAGCCACATCTGTTTACCAAAGTACAGGATGATGACAGACACTATATTACACCCTAACACAACAATCCTAACGATATGACAGCTTGAATTTTTAATATTATAGACTCGACAATAGAAAACAGATTTGCTGCTACGAAGCTATGACATGCAATCAATGCTAGAACTTAATACTGTATCCTCCGTATTAACATCAATTACAATGAAAATGCGCGCCGATATGTAAAATCCCAAATATAGGCAAAACAATATATCACACGTTCCAGCATTTTTGGCAGAAAAGAGCCGTATTAACATCATTACAATGAAAACATTCAAATTGGATAAAGAAGGTACGGTAGTTGATTGCGCTATTAGATTAAAATCGCAAATAAAGTTAAAAGATTCATGAAGAAACAAAATTACATAACTACAATAAATTACTAATAATGTTGATTTTTAGAAAGCTCTAAGTTTTCTATAAATGTTTTTAACTATCTCTAGTATCTATTGTAGATATCAAGTAAATGTGTACTGTACCACAAACTGCTATTCTTGACCTCGAATATTATCTATACTTAATACAAAAAAACTCCCAAGTAACCCTTACTGAGACATTGTAAATTCACACTTATAGTTTTTTGTTGCTTTTTAGGAGCGAACAAAGAATGGGGTAAATGTTCCAGGTGTAGCAGACGAGATCTGAAAGAGAACGAAAAAGGGTATAAAAGGGTAAAAAGGGCATGTCCTTCTATTGCATATTAATTCCGAAAGCATTTAGTTATATGTCTATCAGATTTTAGACCTGTTAGGTATTAAATCAGATTATAAACCCTACGCACAATTAACCGATTTGTTAATTAATATGGAAAAAAATAACATCAAGTTATAAGATAATACGCTATTCATGTTGACATAGGTACCGTAGGGACTGTATATAAAGGGAATTAACTGAATATACAATTACGTTCTCACCTTTTCCGTGAATTTGTCAGCGCAGGCCATTCTAATTCGCTCAGCAGTAGCTGGGCTGTCCAATCGGAAGATTCCTTCGATACCAGAATTGCGTCTGGAACAACGGATAGCATCTTTGATGGAGTAGAAAACAGAGGCAGCCAAGAAAAGAGGGGGCTCACCAATTGCCTGTTATAAAACACATTGAAAGTGTCAAAATCAACCAGCCTTTGTGATCTAAAACTCCAAGAACAACTTATTTCAAAAAATTATAACGTTTACAGGCACCCTTTAATTGGCTGACTTATTAATCAATTGATTATTAATATTATTTTCTTATTGTATATTGTACTACTTTATTGTATGGAAAATAAAAGTATATTTGATTTGATTTGATGATTGACCTAATAAAATGCGTGATTGACTTTAATACAAGTTTTACGTGGCTACAGAGGGCACTATATAATTTTACAATTGATACACAGTTAATAGGCAGATTAATAGTAGGGCTACCTTAGATGAACAGACCACTTTTTTATTCGGCACCCCGTCCAAGAGAGAAACGTTGAATTCAACAGGAATATCTGTGAAGCCAGGTATCTTATAAAATCCGGGTCCTTTTGTCAGTAAATTACCAGTGGGACTCCAACGATGCTCTTCCAAAGTGAATAAACCATAACCTTGCATAAAAGCGCCCTCAATCTACAAATGAATAGGTACATTATACCTGTTAAAAGTAATTAATAAACATCTTGAACTCTTCAGCCTTAATTGATGTGATGCAGTGTTTAACAAAATTTCTATTATTCGCCTAAAAATTTGAATATAATCACATTTTTGAATGAATACTAAAATATTCTTCATTTATGTTTATATACAGTATTTATTATTATTCTCTGTATGTCTTGAATTTTCCACTCACCTGTCCAATATCAATGGCAGGGTTGATACTGTCTCCAACATCCATGACAATGTCAGTCCGCAGAACCACGTGATCACCAGTCAGACAATCAATCTCAACCTCAGACACGGCCGCACCAAACGAGAAGTAATAGAAGGGATCGCCAGACTTGGTATCCCAGTCATAGCCAATGTCAGGGGTTCTTTTACAAAGCAATCAATCATTATTTATTTTTTATTTATTTTTATTTAAAACATCTTTAGGCAGAATAACATATACAGACGAGATGTTATCGCTGTTTTACAATATGGTCCTACAGACACATAGTACAATAACAACAAAAAGTAACCAGCACAGTACAATAAAATAAACATCTACAATAACATTATTTCAACTCTATATTCGCATAGGCCGATAATATTTGGCTTAATGTAGACGCAATATAGTTTACAATAAACTTGTACACCTACTTGTAGAACCCCGTGGCAGATAAACTAACTCTATCATAATATGCTGCTTTAACCTACGAAATAGAATAAAAGCAAATTAGAGTGCGCACATTTATTTTGGGAATTCATTAAACAATATCCAAAAAATTGAAGAGCATAATTATTTTAATTTGATAGTCAAATTCGTCAATAAGGCATAGTCCTAATTTAAGAAAGAGTATTAAATTGGAAGAGGTCCGACTGCCCTAATTTTGTATTTAATAGAATTCGAATAGAGTTCGCTCGAAACTCATTTTTTGAAGGACACACCCCTTCGTGGTAGTACTTTTAAAATTAGGATTACGTTCCAACGAAAGCACGAAAGTCAGACCTCTTCCAGCTGTATACTATTTGCTTTAAATTCCAGCAACGATTATATAAAACATTTGTACGTTATATTTTGTTGCAATTGACATTTTTACATGATTTAATTATTGTTTCGATTATACTGTACAGCAGTATGTTTCAAACTCACCCAGTCATCCCACGTTTTATTTAGCTCTCGTTTTCTGTAAGGCTCAAGTCTTCGATATAACTTCTCACATGCAATCTTTTTTTGGGAAAAAAAATTAACATAATTTCGTGTCTAATATGACAGCATTGCGAAATACGGTATATACGAGATATGCAGTCATTCCCACCCACTTTTTGATAGTTAATGATACTACTCAGAAAATAAAATCAGTTTAACCTTAACTGCCATTCCGTTCAGATCTGAGCTAACACTCCCTGCAGTTGGTGACGTATTTGGTACTGTGTTCGTTGAATTTTCACTCGTATAAATTCTGTTAGACGCAATCCCCAGGGTTCTGCTTGCAACTTGGATCATCTTAGTGTGCAGCCCCTGACCCATCTCAACACCTCCATGTGTCAATAAAACACTTCCATCGGTATAAATTATCACAAACGCCCCTGCCTAGAGATGAAAAGTACGTAACTTAATGCTTATTTTAGTAATGTCCACTACAGTACCCCCGACAACAGTAAGAGCCCATAAAACTCACCGAATAATTTAAGGATAACCAAGAAGGTATTAAAGAGACTGTTAAACTAAAGAGCTACAATTTACTAAGTTTGTTAGAAGTGTTTATATACGGTAAGCTAACTAAAAAATAATAAATTGCATTGGTTTACTTAGGGTTCTATGGGAGTGCACTTATAGAAATTGAGTGACTGGGTGGAGTTATTATTAAAATTACTAGAATAAAGTATAATGTAGGCAAAGGAAAATACGTTATACCCTGGTTAATACCAACCTGATTCATAAATTTGGCATGAAAGCCGACTCCATACGAGAGTGGGATTATTGATATTCCTCTCTTCTTCCATCTGTTTGATCTATACAATATTAAAATGACTATACAATAATATTAAAAATTAATGCTTATTGAGATAATAAATTATGTACAGTATTATATTAGACTCCATACCATCACCATTTGACTTGTGAGTTATGAGCCAGCTGGCGTTAGGCATAAAATGTAAAACAATTATTGGTTTGTTCCTTTGTGTCTCTTCTTCATGATAGTTTATAGTTTCAAGTAAGAGCATAAAACTCGATGCTATGCGGTATGAAAATTACATAACTTTACATTTTGCCTATCGAGGAAAACGTCTATAGGCTTGGTAAATACACAAACCTGTTGAACTCTTTTACTTGTAATTGCCTCATTTCATAAGCACTTTTATTCAAGCATTCGTTCCAGCATCGTTTCATTAGGTACACGTCCTGCACTTTCTGGTTGTAGTATGTCGCTTCGCCATCTTGAAGCAGGTTAATCTCCCGCACCTTTTAATAATAACGTACTTAGTAATAAAGCTATATTACTATAAAAAAAAATACATAAACTACTTTAAAAAAAATAATCTTCGTAAGATGGCAAAATATCCATCATATCATTGGTTCTGTCAGTACCAGGAAAAAATTAATTATTATAAGAGAAAATAGGAAAACTTTTGGAATGTTATACCTAGTTTGATAAAAAAAAAAAACAACAACAGAAGCCCATTGTGTAATTAAGATATAACTATTAATTAACTTGTATATAAACGTTGACATCTGGTTTCAAAGTTTAATATTCCTTGCATTTAAGCAAAAATGGCACAATAGGGCGATTGAAAAAGTTGGGAGAGCGGAATTGATACAAACATTAGCCAAAGTAAGGCGCATGTTTTAATCAAACCACTTTGAATAGGAATCATCAAACATGTTATAGAAGCTTAAAAGTGATTTTGGCGACTGCTGGCTACGTGCCATATGATCGAGATAACTAATCCTCGTTTCAGCACCTTTCTCTGTGAAATGCCACACACCAACGCAATGTCAGAGATCCAGTTCTCTGCCATCATCAAAGCCTGAGGAGTTCCAAATCCCCTAAATGCTGTATTCGAAGGGATGTTGGTCCTGCAACAGTACCCTCTAGTTGTTACATTAGGGATGTAATAGGCGTTTTGCACATGAAACATGGCACGATCCATTACCTTCGGAAAACAAAAACAAAAAACAAAGCAATATTTTATATTATATACTTATTAGAACGCAACATACGTACAAGTAGGCTTTAGAATAATTAATATATATTATACATAAAGTCATGTGTTCAACTTTATAATGAGTAGATTTTTCTGTAACATGCTGTATTTGAATATGAAAGAGAGGTAATGAATGAATGTTATTTTGACTTGACTTTAACTTAACACTAGACTTATATGATAACATGAACACAAATCGCGTATAAATCAATGTGATTAGGGTTTCTAAAATAAGCCATGCGATATTTTCCAACCTGACTCAAAACTCATATTCTCTGTTTTCCTCCTTTCTAGAAATTACAGGTTGTTGCTGAATGCTGAGTTTCTTTTGTTATATCTAATCGGCCGAGCAAAGTAATTATTTAACGTCTGAATATTTTTACCATATTGTAGATCTAAGTCTCAAATGCCTAGGTATGAAAAAACATAGCTACAATGTTAGGCATAACAATGTGACATTTAGTTTACTATTATGATAATAGGCCTAATGATGATGAAAATGAAAAATATTAGTAACAGTAATAATAATAATATTAATAGTAATAATAATAGTAATAATAATAATATTGATGATAATAATGCTTGGTGACTTATAATGTTTTAATGGTCTTTGTTTGAAATCTCTTTTACATTGTAATTTTTATATTTTATTATATTTGATCATTCTTTTAATTGTTTTACTGTCAATTCAATTGTATTTTAATGCGAGAACTGAATTTCCGACATGGAGCAATAAAGTGTATCTTATCTTATCTTATCTTATCTTATCTTATCTAGATGTCTCAGTTTTATGTTTGTGTCCCAAAGTTTTCTTATTGTTATAGTTTTTGTGTTTATGCTACTATCTGGGATTTCCAATGTAAGACGCTCGCTCTCACTGGGTGCCTATCTTTGCAAATCTTATTTTATTTTAATTTAGAGATCTTAACTATATCAATTGTAGTATTAGTAAATCAGTATTAACTCTTGAAACAAGAAGTAGTCTATAATTTACTTCGATTGACAAATCCTGAGAATTTCCGCAATTGCTGTACATATCAATCTCCAATGCTTGTATCTTGCCCTCATTAGTAAAGCCAACCTTATAACGTCCCAGAAAAGCATGTCTGGTTCCCGTACTCGACATGTCCTCATCGCGGTCAAACATACATCGCACTGGTCGCCCAACTCTAGAAGACACATATTTTTTCTTATGTAACGACGTTTGCATTTGCTACTGCGGCACTAACATTTAATACCCGTACAACATTGCAACAACAAGAATCAAATAACAACATTATTTATACGAATGTAATATACGAATAATTTTGAGTCGGTTAATGTCCGAAACGTACTGCCTCACTTGTCTTCTGTCTATACCTAATTTAGCTAAAACCAACTTCTCCAACTTTACGCACCATTTTTGCATCTAAAATTACCTACTTCAATCTCAACTAAATCCCTTTCCTTTCAACTAACATATCAAAGCTTAATTTTTCACAGTGGCATTTTACCTATTATAATTTACTGTAAACCTCATTTATTCATTTCTTATTCCGATGGCGTTTGCCTCAGGAGAATAATACGAAATGATGCTTGCCCTACCTGACGTGTTAAAAGTACTAAATGTACAGATCTACATCTAAAAGGGCAGCAAAAACTCACTGTGTTATACCTTTTGGCTGCAACCGCAAGAGCAGCAGAAAGATTCCAACTACGTGTTTCTTTCCCGCCAAAGCCGCCTCCAAGTCTCTTCACTCGAATCGTGATCTTGTGAAACTGTTCTCCGAGAACACTTGAAACTCTTGCCTATATTTACAAACATATAGCAAATAAATTATTTCTTTGAATTTAAATAAGTAAGGAGAATTTTTATTAGATTGGATAGCTTTTAGCTGCAGTTTGTGTCCTAACTATAATTAGGATTATGTTTTAGTGTATGTCCAACCTCTCTTTAAATAACTATTATAGGGTATCCAATTTAAAATTAAATGGGCATGAACATTGCATGCCGTGATGTACTGACAAATGTTCAATACTCTAAACAATAACGATACTGAACCTGAATAAATTTTTGATCTTGACATCCGGAAAAGATTTCCATGGCATTGTCTTCTCTTTTTGGTAGAGCTAATCCAGATTGTGTTTCTAAGTAAAAGTGCTCTTGTTCACCGAGTTTGATTTCGCCTTTAATTATTTGGTCTGAGTTATTAAACCCATCCGACACGTTGCCGATTCCCAATGTTCTGATTGGCTGTAAGTAGCTTTCTTTCGCTATGGCATCCTGCAAGTTTCAAAATAATAATTGCGTACATTTGCGAAAAAATGCAAGCATCTTGCTATCTTATAAATTATACGAATAATATCATTAATTATACGAATATTTCAGCGTTATGACACGGAATTATTTGCATTTTGAGGCTCCGTAGTTGGAGAATTTTAAGGCTGCGTTGGGTTTACACAGCACACATAGCGTAAACTTTTGTTACACGTTTTAATTTACAGCTCATCGTCGCCATGCCAACCACCAGATTGGAAATGTAGATTTTATTGAAGCAGGAAAGCTAAGGTATAACATTCCTTAATGATTTATCTATGTTAATATCATCTATGTAATGTCCGCTTCGTACAATCATTACCCCTGCGCTACCTTACTACCATGTATAGATTAGTTCTTTGGTTCTTACTTCAATGGAGATGATTGGTTCCAATTCTTGGTATTCCACACGAACCATTCTGGCTGCTCGTTGGGCTATCTGCTTGTTGTCTGCTACGATTCCTCCGATGTACTGGCCGACACAAGTTACCTAGAGAGGGATGGGTTTTGTGAGAACTGATACATAGATACATGCAGAGGCTGCGGAGTGAGCTTCAATAATAGGATAATTGAGTTTTATATAATAATTTCTGTTACGATGATAACAATGTGATTTATTTTTATAGGTCCTATAATTTAAGTGTAATTTTATAATAATTGTGTAGTGTCAAATATCATGGTGGACCTGAAAGTAGACATTTTGATTAGAAAACATGTTGATACCTTTACTGTAGCGAAGAGTTCGTCGCCCTGCCCAAGTTCACCAAAAAAGTTACTTCCTGTGACGTCATTGTGGTCGATAAACGCATAGACCCCAGGCATGCGCAACGCTGCTGTAGCGTCAACACACCTAGCGGGCAATTTGAAAAATAATAGCATATATATAGATTAATTTATCAGTGATGACGTAAACGTTCAGCAATCAAACAAAGGTCATCTATGTTAGGTCATCTTTGCATGGACCGATATTCGTGATTAAATATTGTATCAATGGCGAAAGTGAAGGTAAAATTGTATTTTAACTTTCCAAAATACTCAGATTAATATATAATCAACTGTTAACAGTATTATGTGTAGGCCTATTGATCCTTGTATTAAATATAAATCAATTAAATCATATTATTAGTTAATTGATTTAATTTATTTTGGTGCGATCATTATAAAGTAAATATCTAATGTTCCAATAATTTCAAAAAATATTATGAACCAACTGATCTTTAAAATGAAGCATAAACGGGAATCAAACCCGGTCGCGTTGGTGAAAAACTACGAATTCTTACGATTACACCATTGGGATCAACACTTACTTGAGTATTGCATGTGCTTTCTGGCTGAATACAATGGCCATGTACAGTTCATCTGTAAAAAGGTTTGTAAATGTGGATATCGTAGACATATATCTATGCGGTATACCGTAAAACCTCGAAAGAAGCCCTGGGCTTCTATTTTTTTGCGAACTTTGCGAAGGCCACTGTAACATTTATGTTATCACGGAGTGTATTTAACTGGCATTAAATCACCTAAACTACTGTATAGACCAAGCTTGTATTTAATTTATTTTGTTTTCTGAAATTCGTGTACAGTGTATATACTGTATTATCTCGAAAGGAAGCCTATGCTATCTTGAAAGGAAACCCATGTGCTTCGTTTCGAGGCTAATTTTGCAAACTAAAGAGTGGGCTTCAATTCGAAACGGGCTTCATCAGATTAAGCCCGCTGAGCTTCAACTCGAGGTTTTACGGTATTGCAAATATTTATTGTAGCAATAATGTTTTATCTTGTAAATAATGTAAGCAAGAGCCTCTATTTTTCACGTCACGTCGTTGGCATACAAAATGATAATACCTGTAGCAAATCTTACCTTGAAATGGAACCATATCATCGATGTAGACAGCTTCTCCAGTAGCCTGCTGGTAGGCAGACGAATGAACCATTGGGCGGCCAACAGGATCAACAGAGAGTTGATCTTCAGGAACCTCCTGTAAGAGATTAATAACATAATAATACTAATATGCTTGAAGAAGTAAGCTATTTGCTTTCTCTTCATTTCCAAAAAAATGAAAAAGTAAGTTCCTTGTCAAAAGACTTTTAGGCCTAATAACCGTTTCTATATTCCTTATGAAGGATTTTTGTAGTGAAAACTGATCTGTGTTTCATCTGGTTGTTTGGTTCTTTTAATACAGCAATACACTGAAAAACGAAACATTGTTTGCTGACCTGAAACATCTGAGTGCTCCGTACACCGGCTCTTTTAAAAGGATGTGTTGCTGACATATCTACTGATTGTACATTGACAAATGTATTCTGTAAAGGTAGACAATATTACAATTTGTTGAAACGATTAATGTTCTGGCCATGTTCTAGCCCTGTTCATGGGCCCAAAAATTAAAAATAAATATACACAGTAGTACTATTCAAGAATTATTCTAGTATTTTTTTTTAGTTTCGTAACTTGGACCAAATACCTCTGGAAATGAACAGTGTTGTCTCACACTCAGATAAAATTTGAAAAAGAAACTGAGTACGAGGGACTGTCTGTACTCAACCATCCCGCCAGGTGCGTCAGGTGGAAGGGACATC